CTGCAGCGCACGTGTTGCTGAGGTCAAATCCTGTCCACATTGACCGTTTTAGCCGATTTTCGGCTAACTTTGTCAGATTTTATGTTCATGCATGCGCATAGACAGTGACGTATTATAGCACTTTTGGCATTAATCTTTGTCAGATATCATTGAAAGTTGGCTTAAGCATAGTCCCTATAGCCAAGATGTGTCCCGAAGAGTGAGGTCATGGTGACGTCATCAAGTGATTTATTATGGATTTATGAATTATTATTTTTTCTCATAGACTTTGTACACAGCTTTCTCCACAAGTCTTTCCCTATACAAAACTGATATATCTTAGGCCAAAAAAAAAATATTCGGTCTCTGGTCAGACCAAAGTTCCGGAATTGACGCGGCCACGCGGCCCCTTTTTGTTTTTTTTGTTTTGTTTTTTTCTTCAAGCTTGGATTGTACAGACAAGGTGGGGAACTATTATGCTTTTTTGGTGTCCTCATGTACATTGGTGTCCTCCATTATTTGCCTTGGTGCTTTCGATCATTTGCCTTGGTACAATTTCCCATTCCTTGGTGCTCTTTGGTAAACAAAATTGAGGAGGTGCAAACTTGCTACTTGCGCAACTTTGAAATTTGCGCGCGCAAGTTTCAAACTTGCGCAAGTAGCAAGTTTGTGCTCGACAGTACTTGTAGTAACGATTGCACGAGGAACAGCGTGCGCGCGAAGGTTTATTAGTCAGACCCTATTTATATCTAACAGTACGTCTAGATTCCAGACTAGCTGCTACAACTCCCCAGTTCATTAGGAATTTTACTGAAAGGTATGCGACAAGGTATGCAACAAAATTCACGACATTGCAAACAAATTCGCATACGTGTGCGCACACATTTGCGATAAATTTCCCGACATCGCATACGTATGCGCACACGTTTGCGATATGCAATGTCCCTTCAGGGCCACCATACATACGCACATACATCGTATGTCAGTAAGCCCGCAGGGCACGTGTTACTGAGTTCAAATCCTGACCACAGTGACTGTTTTAGCCGATTTTCGGCTAACTTTGACAGACTTTATGTTCATGCATAGTCAGAGACGTATTATCGATTAAAAAAAATCATAATGCGGAAAAGCCCTATGTTCTGTTGCAAACAGACATAGATCTCTAGTTTTTTTTTCTTCTCCTTTTTCAGACTTTTTCTCCATAGGTTTAACACACGTTTCTTCTGGCAGTCCACTTTGCCACTTTTATAAATCCGATTGATTTCAGACTTGGTACATACTTAGACCACCACCCACAGATGGTCCTAGAAGAAATTTGTGATCGTGACGTCATCAGGTGTCAGGTTACGTCACATTAAAGATGCATTTTTCCCCATATGTTTTGTACACGTTTTAAAACACTCCAGTTTGGCATCTTCGTAAATCCGATCGACTTTAAACTTAATTCATAATTAGACCACCACCCACAGATGGTCCTAGAAGAAATTCGTGATCGTGACGTCATCAAGAGTCAGGTTACGTCACATTAAAGATGCATTTTTCCCCATAGTGTTTGTACATGTTTTAAAACGCTCCACTTTTTGGCACTTTCGTAAATCTGATCGACGTTACACTTGGTACACACTTAGACCATCACCCACAGATGGTCCAAGAGGAAATTCGTGATCGTGACGTCATCAGGTGTTACGTTACTTCACATTAAAGATGCACATTTTCCCCATAGGTTTTGTACACGTTTTAAAACGCTCCACTTTTTGGCACTTTCGTAAATTTGATCAACTTTATACTTGGTACACACTTAGACCACCACCCACAGATGTTCCAAGAAGAAATTTGTGATCGTGGCGTCATCAGGTGTTGGGTTACGTCACATTTAAGATGCGTTTTTCCCCATATGTTTTGTACACGTTTTAAAACACTCCACTTTGGCACCTTCGTAAATCCGATCGACCTCAGACTTGATACATACTTAGACCACCACCCACAGATGGTCCTAGAAGAAATTCGTGATCGTGACGTCATCAGGTGTTTGATACATCACATTAAAGATGCATTTTTCCCCATAGGGTTTGTACACGTTTTAAAACACTCTACTTTGGCACTTTTGTAAATTATGCGATCGACGTTAGACCTGGTACACACTTAGACTACCACCCACAGATAATCCTAGAAGAAATTCGTGATCGTACCAATGCCGAGATGGGTTATAGATGAAAATTCATGTGATGTCATCATCAAATGTCATGTGACGTCCCTTAAAGGGGCATGTTGTTCTTTATAGGCCTATATTTACAGACCTATACGTTCGATTTGGTTATAACTTGACATGTACGTATAATGTGCTGTTATAGATGACAGTTTTAGTGACGTCACTGATTGTTCATCACGTGCACAGAGTATTTCGAATATCCGAAACAGCTTGTGTTTGTCCACAAACACATTTCTAGTTTTTTTTTTTTTTCTCCTTTTTCAGACTTTTTCTCCATAGGTTTAACACACGTTTCTTCTACCAGTCCACTTTGCCACTTTTTAAATCCGATTGATTTTAGACTTGGTACCTACTTAGACCACCACCCACAGATGGTCCTAGAAGAAATTTGTGATCATGACGTCATCAGGTGTCAGGTTACATCAAATTAAAGATTCGTTTTTCCCCATATGTTTTGTACACGTTTTAAAACACTCCAGTTTGGCATCTTCGTAAATCCGATCGACTTTAAACTTAATTCATACTTAGACCACCACCCACAGATGGTTCTAGACGAAATTCGTGATTGTGACGTCATCAAGTGTCAGGTTACGTCACATTAAAGATGCATTTTTCCCCATAGGGTTTGTACATGTATTAAAACGCTCCATTTCGGCACTTTCGTAAATACGATCGACGTTACACTTTGTACACACTGAGACCATCACCCACAGATGGTCCTTGAAGAAATTCGTGATCGTGACGTCATCAGTTGTCACGCTACTTTACATTAAATATGCACATTTTCCCTATATGCTTTGTACACGTTTTAAAACACTCCACCTTGGCACCTTCATAAATGCGATCGACCTCAGACTTAAAACATACTTAGACCACCATCCACAGATGGTCCAAGAAGAAATTTGTGATCGAGGCGTCATCAGGTGTTGGGTTACGTCACATTAAAGATGCGTTTTTCCCCATATGTTTTGTACACGTTTTAAAACACTCCACATTGGCACCTTCGTAAATCCGATCGACCTCAGTCTTGATACATACTTAGACCACCACCCACAGATGGTCCTAGAAGAAATTCGTGATCGTGACGTCATCATGTGTTGGGTTACATCACATTAAAGATGCATTTTTCTCCATAGGGTTTGTACACGTTTTAAAACACTCTACTTTGGCACTTTTGTAAATTATGCGATCGACGTTAGACCTGGTACACACTTAGACTACCACCCACAGATGGTCCTAGAAGAAATTCGTGATCGTACCAATGCCGAGATGGGTTATAAATGAACATTCATGTGATGACATCATCAAATGTCATGTGACGTCCCTTAAAGGGGCATTTTGTTCTTCATAGGCCTATATTTACAGACCTTTATGTTCGATTTGGTTATAACTTGACATGTACGTATAATGTGCTGTTATAGATGACATTTTTAGTGACGTCACTGATTGTTTATCATATGCACAGAGTATTTCGAATATCCGAAACAGCTTGTGTTTGTCCACAAACACATCTCTAGTTTGTACTCGTACTCGTACTCGAATGTCAAAGTACTCGTTCTCGAAATGACGGTACTCGTACTCGGGCAAGGTACTGGTACTCAGCATGTCGAAATTGTATTCGATCATCAAAGTACTCGTACTAGAATACTCGATTTAAAAAAAAAAGGGTACAGCACTTACCACGGCCTTACTCACGGTCCAGCCCATTGCCAATCTGCATGAATGGAGAAAGAGACACAGCCGAAGCCGGGGTTTGGGAAAACAGCCTCTAGTCTGGTTCCGGCGTCAGGCCATAAAGCTAATTATAAAACCGTCAGGCCACATTGTAACAGAGGACCTGTAAATAGGCCTAAACCCATCCGCCGAGCCCATCAATAAAAGTTATGCCCTTAAATATTATATTTTAGAGAGTTCTGAAAGCCATAAAATTGGGGGAGTGGAGAGATATGACAATGAACTTCTGGCCCGGACTTGGGTCTTCAAATTCTGAGCATTTTGAATACAAATGGGCTCGAAAGTGGCGCTAGGCATGCTGTGGAGGGATTGTTTTTTTCAAGATGGCTATACTTTTTCGCTTTGGGTGAGATTTTCTCGAAAAGTCAATTGTCAACCAATCAAAATATGAAATATGACATGTTGATTATCGTTTTACTGTGCAGCTTAAATACCTGTGATAGTTCCGAGTATTTTTTTTAAGAATTTTGAAGTGGGCATTTCGCACTGGTGACTATGGGAATTTTAACACAGGGGTGCATCCGTCACGTCAAGGAAGCAGATTGTATGCGTAGTATACCACGAACCTGCCACTTTGCACGTTGCGTGTACCGTCCACGTTCGCTTGTAAAAAAAAAATTGTCGGAAAACTTTTTAAATGTAATCATGACAAGTTAGGTAAGGATCTGTAAATCGAACACAAGCTACTCCACACAACAAGCTACAAAGGAATGAACAGATAAAGTGGTACAGGGGCCCAGAAGCGAACTTGCGATACAACACATTTTGTGGAGTTATCCAACTTGATCTTTAACAATATCAAAATATACCTGTGTAAACTCGAAAGTGATGTTTAAATGATGATCTTTGGCCCAAAACAATTTGGTTAAAGTGATCAAAAATTGCTTCAGATCATCTAGAATCCAGAATGTAATTTTAAAGCGGGCCCGAACCCACGAAGCATTGGGCTTCGCGCTCCCATTACATTTCATCAAGCTATGGTCACACTTTTGAGAAGCGATTCCGAGAAAGATCCAGTAAATTCACAATCGGATATTGAAGTGAATAGGGTGATGATCATTGAGATGTTTTCTTGCAGGTTCTTGAAGAGGTCGGAATCGCCAAAAACCTGAGGAGGTTTTCGGGCACCAGTATCGGAGCCATGATGGCAATGTTCGCTGCTCTTGGTTTAGACTCGTTTGAAATGGAAGAACAAACATCTTTTGACTTTAAGACTCTGGTAAATGGTAAGAGAACAACAATACCTACCAAAAGATCCCATTAACTCTCTTCAGAGAGTAGATTTCATCATACTATACTTACTGAAGGAGAATTTCGATGGAAAGGGAAAGAGATCGCAAAAAACACGCGACTGAAGTGGACATAAATTTCACTCTAACGTTCATATCCCAAGAGTTGATCTAATGGGGGAGTCGGTTGGGCTAGCCCTGCTCCCGACAAATCAAACGGTTAATTGACAGGTTGGTGCAAAAAGAAGGAAAGCCACTTTTGACAGAAATTTTAACCTACTTAACTTATTTGAACTTTTTTTTTTTAAATGTAGTGAAGTATAGCTCTTCAACCATACGTGGTGAAAAATCTTTTTAAAAAATCGCATGAATAGTGTTTTTATGCTAATATGAATACAAGTCACCTAATCAAAATCACTGTTGTCCACGTGTAAGTCTGGTGTAGTGTCTTCAAATCAAGCTCTGGAGCTCAGTCAAGCGGATGGAATAAAGCCGTCCGTGGCACATGAAATTATTAAACTACCATATCTCAGAGACAACATACATGCATTTGCAATCATTTTTTCGTCACTTATGTTTAAAAAACAACATTTTAATACCATCAAATTGAATTTTTAAAATATGCTCAACAAGTATGTGAACATTGTCCTCAAAAGTGGGTTTTCCTTCTTTTTTTCACCATCTTGTATAATGGTAAAACTCCCAAGTATATTTTAGTTCCCCAATAACGTCATTACTCAATATAGCAAATCTCGATTCACTGCGTTGGCCTTTGGTCTTTTTATGCGTTGACTGCAATGCCACATCCACACCATTCCCCTTGAAAACTCCGGCCCTTTAAACCCCAACCACCCCTTTACAAAATCCTAAATCTGCCACTGTGTCCTTAGATTCAGTCCAATAAAGTAAATTCTCAGTAAAATTATGTAGTAATTTGGAGTGAATGTTGCCGTCGTAGATTAAGAGGTCATTGATATTATGTTCCCCATATCTGTTTAAAACGCCACCTTAACATGTTCATTGCGTTCACTGTGTGTGACAAGTAGCCAGCATGTAAGTCGCTTTAAATAAATATTTTGCGTTTGGGCCTAAAGCCTGAAATGATGTTCAATTAATCCACAATTTACATTTGTATCGCAATACGTACAAAACATAGTTCGACTAGTACGCATCTATTGTACCATGTTAGCTGATCCGACGTGCACTACAACATATTCAATTAATTTAAAATGGTTATTCATTGGAAGTCCTTCTTGCATCTGTGTACGCAGCTAGTTGGCCGCATTTTGCAAATCTAATAGCTATTACATGGGGTAATCCTCTATGATAGCACTGCCCGGATCATAATTCACAGTGAGTCAGTATTGTACAATAAAAACAATAGCTTGGCCCTCTTGGGCCAGCACAATGAATAATGAGACTGATTTTCTTTTGTTTTTATGTAGATGGCCGATTCGGTTATGTTGGTGCGGGTATTAATCTCTACCGAAAGATGGGCGCCTGCCCCGCCCACAAGCTGGTCAAGTTTTTTCGTGAACGGATTGAGAGCAAATTTGGGAACCCAGATTTGACATTCAAGCAGGTAATTATCCTCAAACTGTGATGTAAATGGCGGGGAAAACACACTGAGTTTTCGTATTTATACACGAATCTTGACATAAAGGATGGGCATATTAAATGCGTGATATATGGTGGGTTTTTTTTTATGACGTCATAGTGAGAAAGGGAGCATTTATGGGTGGAGCACACGAATTAATAAAAATCTTCTCTTGATAGCCTAGGCCTACATCTTTCGATAAGTCTGTATCTCCTGTATTCATAATTGTTTCATACTTTTAACATGTCTGTAAACCTTTCAACTTAAATATCAGAAATGCCAAGGTAGATGAATGTCATTATTCTTAACTCTTTTCCCCCAAGCTGTACCGAGAGAGTGGGCGGGAACTGTGTCTTACTGCCGTGTCATTAAATCGATTACAAGCTGAATATCTGCACGTGAAGACGACACCGGACTTACCGATATGGCTAGGTCTACGGGGAGCGGTGACTGTGCCGGGTACGTGTGATTACAATATGCTAAACAATTGCAACATAAATTTAGCTTCCTCTACACAAGACCATTCAGACACGCTATCACAGTAAATCCCCTTCAATGACATAAATCATTGTGCCAGCTATGTGATATTGTACAAAGCAAAATGCTCCAAGACAGAGTATCTGAACAATACCTGGCAGCAATTATTTTTTTATGCAACGAAATATATTCGCTCGTACCCCCGCCCTGCAAACAGGCAGTTGGAAGGGCTGATGAGCTTCACAGAAGAATCGTGTGAAGGAAGTACGCATGGCATTCTGGGTAACTTATCATGACCTTCGCTGCAGCGAGTTTGTGCACTGCATGCTACGTCACACGTCACGCAAAATCTATTCAATGAGAGCTCAAAGAGATCAGCCCTTCCTAGCGTCCTGTTTGCAGGGCGGGGGAGAGGGGTACGAGCGAACGAAGCACAGTCAATGACAATAATGCGCACGCGTCAAACATATCAGGTGAACTAAATATGTCGCCCTGATTTGAATTAAGTTTTTATAGCTTATGTTCCACGATGGTCAGCGTGGTCTCGCTGTGGCGTATGCGTTACATCGCTGATCTGTATGTTGGAGGCTCCAGGTTCTGTTCCTGGAGGGAATTTTACATTTTTGTTTTTCCCCAAAAAGTGAATTTTGTTCTCTAAATTGTGTTTATAATCAAGTCGTGATGATCGATAAAATGAAATTCAGCCATTTCTTCTCATTTGGCTCTGAAGGATTTTTTTAAAGGGAAGTTAAGTCTGAGAACCATTCCGTTACAAACTGACGCATGCGCATTTTGGTCATTGACTATACTTGGTTGCATAAAAAAAATAATTGCTACCTGGCACAATGCTGACGCCATTGAAGGGGGCCCTGTAAGTGTGCAACGATATCGCGCTCCGAATGGTCTATGTTTGCTTGATCGAATTTTGAAATCAGTCAACGCAGTGTATTCACCATCGAATATCACCCAAATGGCTTGGTCATATTCATGCTTGTTTTTGTGCCAACTTCGTCTGCTGGTTGAAAAAATCACGATACATCAAATCAAAAATCCGTCTGTTATATGTGTCAAGGACGCGCGACATTGCATTGGGCGTTGCATGATTATATTCAAATTTAATTTGCCAGTAACCAAAACAAAGCTTGATGTACGTTTGGATTTAAATTGAAATCGATTTGTGCCCCTTCAACGTCATAACACTTATTTCAATATTAAACAATATAGAAAAAAATGTAACTGACGTCTATAACCTTTATGTTATATGTGTCTTGATGATAAACTTGTTTTCGGTGAACCATTATTTACTTATTCACTTCGTATTATTTGACAATTACTATTAAAACAAAATATAATATATTGGCCTAAGTGCTATTTGCTAAAATCCTCCTCTATATTGAAAACATATGAGACTCATAAATGTTCTCACGAAACCTCAGTGAAACAACCAGAAACCAGAGATTCTTCCACGGTATATGTAGGACAATACAAGTAGAATTTTACACGTTATTTGAGTACTAACTGTAGTTTGGTAGGTTATTGGCAGGGACGTGCAACAATACTCAACTTCACGGCCTATAGAAATTGTATTGAATGGTACTTCAAAGAACTATTGACTGCGTGTGATCCGGACCAGTAAACACAAAAGGGTTGTTTGTAAGGTCACACGGAGGTTGCGGTATACCATTGGCCTATCAACAATAATAATTATAGGGTCATATTGTGAAGTGCATAGTTGTGGAAGTAGCACATGGTTCGCGGTGGCATAGGTAGGCCTTCATTTACATGTACATCTATATAGCCTATCATATAGTCCCCAAAATTGAGATAAAAAAACGGGAAAAGTTTCAACGAGGCACGTTTACCTTTGGGTGTACTTCCGATGTTTAAAGGAGTAATAACGAGAGCAGGTGCCGATTTGGTCTCAAAAACCTATTTACCACGAAATGATACCATAGTTAGAAATATCGTTAAAAATTAGCAAAATTCACAAAAAAATATAGAGCTTGCTCGCTTGGACCAGGGCTATCAAAAATTAGATGCTTGAAATATGTGTATCGTCAGATGTAAACGAACGGGGTTTTCCATTATTCCGTATGTACTTGTATTTCTTTTCACCCAGACCGTCGAAATAAGGTAGGCCTATAAACAATCCAACACATGAAATGTTTGCGAAATCGGGCCCAATGGTAACGTTTTTCATGCCCCAGGTGGGGATTTTGGTCACTCAATAACATTGTTACCATTGGCGAGATACATGAAAAGGCAATCACTTGTGCGCGCCACGTATATATGTCTGAGATTGTCACTTAAATTTTGCCCGATGGGTGGGAATTTTGTCACTTCAAAAGTGAGAATCCCTACGTCTTGGGTGGGGCAGCCCCGGGGGAGGGGTGGGGAAAACAATTGATAGGCGTATAAGTAAGGTGTTTTACAGTATGCCTACATGCCACGTGTCATTGTTTACATCAGCGTTTATAGGCATTATGTGAAGTGATGTTTTAGGGTTAAAGAGGTTGTGGAATGCTCGAAGTCATTTCCGTCATTTTTCGGGTATATGTAGCCTAGGGTGTGATGAAATAAAAACGACTATTGTTTCTGTCATGAAATGAGTACAAAAGGTACTTTTGAGAGCTGTTTTTCAAGTCCTGTCATGCCTGTTTCGACCTGAACGTGCAATTTGTGTAAAAGTCGTCGTTGCGGGCAGCAAACAAAACACAGTAAATCGTGACGTAATAAACAGGACTCCCGATGCAGAGTAGCATAAACGAGTCCTGTTTATTACGTCACGATTTATTGTGTTTTGTTTGCTGCCCGCAACGACGACTTTTACCCAAATTGCACGTCCGGGTCGAAACAGGACCTGAAAAATAGCTCTCAAAAGTACTCTTTGTACTCATTTCATGACAGAAACAATAGTCGTTTTTATTTCATCACGCCTTACATATACCCAAAAAATGACGGAAATGTCTTCGAGCATTCCACAACCTCTTTAACGTATACACTCCACTCCTTATGATCCGCCTTTATCTTTCTCTGATCTGAAGCTCTAATGATGCCCATCAAGTACAAAGTCATGTCAAAGGAGGATGACATTTTCGTGGATGGGGGTGTGATTCACAATTACCCAGTAGCCTGCTTCGATGGTGAGTCCGTGGTCATATACACACACGTGCGGAGATGACGTACGTGTTTTGCTTTGTCACTCCGTCTTTAATTGGATATGACACGGCTGTATTACGGCGCCTTGCAGGTACAGCCAGTAAAAAATATGCACCTGGCACAAAGTTGGACATTTCTCGGTGAACCAAACATCAAAATATACGTACGTTGCCACGGAAACTTTACGGTTTAATTTGATACTCCACGCGGTATAAACACTGTGTAAGAAATAATGAGAGCGCAAGCGCTCGAAACGCCAAAACTTAAAGTTGCACTTAATAGCAAGATTTTCAATGGGCATTGCAACACACAATTTGAATGTAATGTTGAAGGCCTTCAATAATATTGCGTATTGCGATGCCCACTGAAAATCTCGGGTTTCAGGAGTTTCAGCGCTTGCACCCTCGTTATTTCTTCCACAGTGTTCCCAAGTGAGGTATCAAATTGAACCGGAAAGTTTCTGTGACAAAACGTATATTTGAGAGTTTTTGTTCACCGAGAAATGTCCAAACAAGGACGATTATAAAAACTGCTTAGTTTCTGTTTGTGCCTCAGGTATATCCAAACATAATGCGTTCAGAGAGGTACTGTCATCGTGCACTGGGCTTAGTCCTGCGAATCGACCAATGACAGTAGTCATGCACGGTTTGAAGCGTTTTCTAAATTCGTAGAAATTAAACCCCCTGTTACATTAACTTTGGATGATTTTCTTTAAGATTAATATTGCTTGTGTCATCATGAGCAGCCTTTAAAATAATTTCTATACAATTCAACGCATGCATATCAATAGGGGCCTACAGATCTGCATCTATAATTATGTTTAATTGTTCTATCTCATTTAGGTTGGTACTTGTCTATGGACAAGGCAGACAGTTTTCTTCGTCGCTTTCGTGATGTGTTGAGCCTTCGCGACCAGTTTGCTGGTTTCAATGAAAAATCTATCGGAGCAGTTGTGGTACGTTTATCCGGACTATGGGTCGTCTGTGTCGTTGTAAATCAGTGATAGGGAATGTAATGTTTGATATTACAGATCATGTAAATAAATTTAATTTTTTTTTTTTTTATTAAAAAATTCTTGCAGTTATTTTCAAGACAAAAAAAATGTACTTTTCCCCCTCAGTATTCCGAAGACGAGTCCGAGTCATTTAAGGTTGCATTGGAAGAACGAGCCTGTAAAAACAAGAAGACAGGGGATGCTGTCCCCATACCGGACACCAAACGAAGCAGGTACATCTACTGAAACATACAGTTCGTGATTCGAAACGGAGCTTTAGCAAGTGACGGGAATTGTAAATTTACAACACAGATAAGTTTTACAGAATTTCATACATTATTACGTTTTTCAACGAGAAAAAAACATCTCTAAACTGGAATAAAAGAGTAATGAATCTTTCTTAACGGCCGTTTCAAACCTTGCATAGTCATGACCTTGATGACGCGCAGGTCACTTCAGAGCGTGAATTCATCAGAGTATCTCAGCGTCCTGTTTGCAGGGCGGGGGGTACGAGCGAAATTGGTTACTATGCACCTAGGCTGTGCCACTTCCCTGTAGTGTGATTGGCCTACAGATGTCATCATGCAACGATGCTGATGACCTCTGGTTTCCTTGAACTCTCATTGGATACATGTTTCATAGCCAGTGACCCGGAGTGGGCGCTCCCTCGCCTTGTGCGAACGACAGGTGCGCGAGAAATACACGTACATTACTTACAGAAAGTTATACCATACCCAAAACGTATTTCCTTCACAAGTTTGTGTGAATGCCATAAGCGGATACCACACCCTTGGATATGATTGGATCAAATCGGTGTTATTCAAGATAGATGGTGAACAATCTAAATCCATGTGTCTCAAAATCTCTGTTTTAGGAAAAAGGCACAGTCTAATGACGAGAAAATGAAACTGCACGTGAGTTCCAAGCAAGCACTGACCAAGCTTGTTGAACTTCTTGGGAGTTACGACAAGGACGAGAGTGGAACGATCTCAAAACAAGAATTCAAAGACTCTCTAGAAGACGTAAGTTTCTAGAAGACGTATACTTATCGATCACGCTTCACATCGACTACCCACCGCTTATAACCATGCGCAATGGTTACTACGAGCAGTGTTCTTCGCGCACGCCCTGATGAATGTGCAAGCTCGCGTTATTCTTTTGATTACCATTGGAGGATCTTTTCCACAATATACCTTATGCTTTGCGGGAGCCTTAGCAGAGGGTATTCAGTGTTATTTTACAGACTTGTATTCGAGTCATGAAACATCGAGTCCGAGTCCGAGTCACATTTCTCGAGTCCAAGTCCGAGTCCCGAGTCCTCCAGGTCGAGTCCGAGTACGAGTCACCTCTAACATTATATTGGAAAAACGTACATTTTATGGAATTCAGAGATTCAGAGTCAGTGAGTCACCTTTGATATAGTATTGGAAACACGTACATTTCAGGTCCTGTAAGTTTCCATTTTTCCCCACAGCTTTTCTCTGGAATTTTCTCTGGTAATGAGGAGTTCATTTGCAAAAACAGTTATAAAGGCAATTCAGACAAAACTGGTATTGGCCTAACTTATGCATTTAAAGTTCAGGTGTTTCAAATATCTTTTGTTAGACTTCTATGTATGTGTGCGTGTGCAGTGCGGTTATTTCCGTCGAGTCACAAGTCAGTTCGAGTCCAAGTCCGAGTCCGTAGCCCTGAGTCCGAGTCCCAGTCCGAGTCGTAAGTCAAAGTGACTGGAGTCCGAGGTACTAAAAATGTGACTCAGTCGGACTCGAGTCCGAGTCCGAGTCACGAGTCACGAGTCATACAAGTCTGTTATTTTAACTTATTAACATTAAATGCACAAAAGGTTTATTCACGCCTATCACAGCGATACGAAACCATTCTCCTCTAACTCCGCCTCAATATAGCGCATAAGGTGTATACTAATCTGCGCACTTTATTTTACTTTGAATTGCACATATTGTTAGGAACTGGGTCTGAAATGACTTCGCACTGTCTTGAAGTTTAGTTCGTCTTCACAGCAATTGTGCAGCACTTCCAGGACAGTCCTCATTTTTAATTTTAATACAGTCTGATCACAATCTGATTTTACCTAAACTGTGTCAGGCTACTGACATGGCTTTTTCAGACGACGACGCCAAGCTCCTGTTTGGCAGCGACTCTAAAAACCCGGACGCCATTTTTGATCTTCTGGATATCAATGGGAATGGAGAGGTAAGCCTTAAATGTATCGAACCAATAGAAAGATTATTCATGGTAGATTTCTTCTTCTTTTTTAAGTTGAACAAGTAGTGTCATGGCCTAGCGATTAAGAGTACCGCACCGGACTCATGCTCTGATGTTTTAGAGGCAGCAGAATGTGGGTTCGAGCCCGGGTCTGGACACTTGTGCCCTTAAGCAAGGCACTTAACCATTGTTGCTTCGTCCTTCGGATGGGACGTAAAGCCGTAGGTCCCGTGTATTGTGTAATGCAATGCACGTAAAAGAAATACTTATTGCTAAGAGAAGGGGTTTGCCCCTGTGTTTCTGGCCTCCTGTTTAAACTCCCCTGCGGAGTGTTTGAGGAGAAGAACCAACCAAGTACCAAGTCAGGACATTGACTGCATCAGGGTTTGAACCTGCGACCTCCAGACTACCCTATACCTGCGCTCTTCCAAATGCCCTCCCCATGTTGGCAGTAATATGAAAGTCGTGGGTTCAAACCACGCTCCAGTCAATTCTTTGTTCAACTTTTAAAACGATTATACATTTTTGTAATGCACCTAGTCGATTTCACACTATTGAAATAAATATTGATCAGTAAGTCTGGGTTTTTAAGCTCTGGCAAGAGTTTCTACATGTCACGTTTAATAGTGGTCGGTCTGTCCGTCTCAAAAGTGACCAAAAGTATGGTGATCCATATGTTCCATATATCTTTTAAATTCACAAGTCAATAAAAAAGGAAACCCTTCATCACAGTTGATTTCAATGAGTTGGCTTGTGACTTCATGACTTATGTGCGTGTGATCCATAATTATGGATGGTGCTTCAAAATACAGTCTGTCTTGCTTAATTTGTAATTTGCTTAATTGTTTAGTTACATAAACAATTTCATGATTCAGAAGTTCCTCATTCAAACATAAGCAAATATTAAACGTGGTGAGAGCCCCTTTAACCTGTGTTGAACTATCGACCCTGAAATTCCTAGCCAAACACCAACCCCTCCGACAAGCACCATAATTATGTTTGTGGAATAAAATCACAGTAGTCCAACCGCCTTCGCCGCAGGGTGTAATACTGATCTATCATACATGTCAACCGGAATAATCAATAAGCTCGATTGGCATGTTTCCCGAGTACTCTGACCACGAACGAATCCAAGACTGAAAGAAACCAGATGGCACGTGTGGCTGGGAGTCCATTCAAACTTGCACTTCTCCACTAATGCCAGCTGGGAGAAGAATATCTCGGGTATCGCTGCTTCCATGAGAGTCAATTGTCTCTATTGAGATCAGACTTCTTTTTTTTACATCATGAGGCTATTCTGTATACTTAAATAAGATGACTACATTGTATATGTCCCCTGATGGAATACTGTTCCCACATGTGGGCCGGGGCTTCCGCCTGCCATTTATCTCTACTAGATCGGGTGCAGAAGCGAATCGCTCATTTGGTTGGTGAGGAGCTGGGCCTTTCCCTTTCCCATCGCAGGTCAGTAGCCACCTTCCGTCTGTTCTACAGATATTTCCATGGAAATTGTTCCACCAGTTTGTTTGACTTGGTTCCTTCTGTCAGGGTGTTTGAGCGTGCAACCAGGCTCTCTGCTTCCTCTCACCCATACACTCTAGCTGTGCCGAGATGTAGAACAAAGAGCTACTCTAGCTTTTTTCCCAGGTGCTGTTTCTCTTTGACTCCTTGCCTATAGGACGGCACTACCCTAGCTGTGAGGGAAGACTTCATATACCTGGGCTCTCACATCAGCTCAACAGACAAGGGCATCCGAGTAAGGAAAGCACAGGCTTGGAAGGCTTGCCAAAACTTCAAGAAGATCTGGAGGTCTATGCAATGCCGGATAAACTCAAACTTGATTTATTCCGTGCATCTGTGGAGTCCATCCTACTCTACGGCTCTGAGGCATAGACCCTAACTACAAAGCAAGAGGCTAGACTCGCTGGCTGCTACACTCGCGTGCTGAGATGGCTCTAGACGTGAGTTGGAGAGACAAAGTCAGGAATGAGGTGCTCTATGGCAACCTGCCAAGGTTCTCTACAACTATTAGACTTAGGCGTCTGCTATTGGCTGGTCACTGCGTTCGGCATCCAGAGATAGCTGCAAGCCAACTCATATTATGGGAACCCACTCATGGAGTAGCCTCTCGAGGTGGGCAGACGCTAGCCTACGTGGACCAGCTGCGTCGTGATACTTGGGCTAGCCTCCGCTGCCGAGATCAGGACGGCCATGGGAGACCGTGATGTGTGGCGTGCTTTTGTTGCAGTCCGACGAGAGTCGACTTGATGATAGGGGTTATTTCCCTCCTTCCTATGACCTAGCCTATATCAACTCCTACCGTCATCTTTCCTGATTATTATGTGCAGCCCTTTACCAAGAGTGGCTTTTATAGCCTTGTTTGAGGCGATATTCCATTAACAAAAAATATTTTAAAACACACACTGCAGTAGGACTCTGAAACCATGTGTGTAGAAGTGCCACCCACCCCCACCCCCCGGTGAAGGGTTAAAATATCTCGACTACTACATTGCAAGCGTCCAATATATTTTTCCTGATATTGAATTCGTGTTCATCACACATTTGACCAACACGCTTCATTGCTTGGTTTTGTTGTCTTCTTGTTAACCAGATTGAGTTCGATGAGTTGCTGGCGTTTGCCGAGAAGAGAGGCGTAGATTTGATGGAAGAACTCCGAGGGTTTGAGCGATTGGCGGATTTCGATCACGTGATGGGCCTGCTGTCAGCTCTCTTGAGTACATTAGTTATCAATGCCAATCGCATGTCGATCAAGGTAGGCCAAGTATGGCGTTCGTGCATTTTGACCATTGCATGCTGAAAATGACAGATGAATTCCAAGGTTTGTGGCGTTGTTTGTGCGTGATGCCTTAGTTCATGCTTTTCAGGGGTTCGAATCCAGCTGCTGGTCATAATGTTGTGTCCTTGGGCAAGCCACTTCACCCCTACTTGCCTCTCTCCACCCAGGAGTATAAATGGGTACCGACATTGGCTGGGGAGTAACCTGCGATGGGCTAGCATCCCATCCAGGGGAGTATATTATCCGTCGTTTCATGCCACTGAAACCGGAGATGAACGTCGGCCTGATGGGCCACATTGGCTCATGACTGACTTTACTATACTTTTTTTTTTAACGTTGTGCACGAGTTGGCGGATTTTGCCAGATTCGATTTCATAAATTTCTCACTTCCAGGCTGACGATATTGATCGCACGATTGGAATCAACACCGGATACATCGGAAGCACCGATTTTCCTATGGAATCCGAAGACAGGGATTACATCATTCAGGTGAGAACCAAAAAAATAATCCACTTGTAAGAACAAAGAAGTGTCTGTGTTTAATGATTCCTAACCAACGTAGATAACTACAGACAATCTGCACTTACTGTTTGCAAAGTACACTGTAAAATGTGTGCTTAGATTTTAAACACATTTCTAAACACTTAACTGTACCAACTGTTTTCACATGTCTGAATCTAACACGTTTGGGTTTATGGGCGTCTGTTTAATACATGTTTTGGTACACGACGCGACGAAAGGATGTTAATAACATCAAGTTTAAATAGTACAAGTAAATAATACAAGCTGATATGTACATGTATGTGGCCTATTTTCGAGTGGTATCATTGGGCAGAGCCGTACAGGGAGAGTGGCGTCATGAGGGTCGCACTATTTGGAACCAAAATAGCGGATATGCATCAGTGCACATATATAATTAAAGAGGTTGTGGAATGCTCGAAGACATTTCCGTCATTTTTCGGGTATAGGTAGCCTAAGGTGTGATGAAATAAAAACGACTATTGTGTCTGTCATGAAATGAGTACAAAAGGTACTTTTGAGAGCTGTTTTTCAGGTCCTGTTTCGACCCGATCGTGCAATTTGTGTAAAAGTCAAAACAAAGTAAATCGTGACGTAATGAACAGGACTCCCAATGCAGCGTAGTATAAACGAGATATGTTTATTACGTCACAATTTACTATGTTTTGTTTGCTGCCCCCAACGACGACTTTTACAGAAATTGCACGTTCGGGTCGAAACAGGACCTGAAAAACAGCTCCCAAAAGTACCTTTTGTACTCATTTCATGACAGACACAATAGTCGTTTTTATTTCATCACACCTTAGGCTACATGTACCCGAAAAATGACGGAAATGTCTTAGAGCATTCCATAACCTCTAGTCGCACGCTGCACTGTACACATAATGAACGGCCATAATGGTTCAACAGTCTGAAGTTGTCGTAACTCTCTGTATATACGGCTCTGGAAAAAGGGGTGTAAATGGTGCCACCAACGTCAAAACAGTCCCCCCCCCCCCCACAAAAAAAAATGTTCCGCGGCCAAACATTTTGGGCAACATTTTTTTAAGAAATATTCAAACTTCTAAAAAAAATTCAACACATTGTGAGCCCCCTCCCCCACCCGCCCTGCCAAATCATGGGTGGATCAATGCGTGACAGAAATTTAAAAAGAATTCAATAAAATTTTGTTTGGAGTTGTTGATAGCAGGTCACAAGATGGCGCTGTCATTAACGTTGTATATCTGTAAAACGTTTGCGTCTTTCAGAACGGCAAAGTAGGAACCGTATATTTCCTCCGTGAGTACATCAAGAAGCACAACTTACAGAAGAAGGCTGAAACGAACAGTGGTGATGCTGCAGAAAGCAATGACGTCACTGATGTCGCAACTCCTTCAGAATAAGACGTCAATACCGTCATATTTTTATGCTGAATAGGCTGAGCTGTCTCGATTCTACACTGTAGAAAGCCCCAAGTCAGAATCGACCCAGAATCCGGGTCCTATGGGGCCTGACATTTTTCCGGTTCAAAATGACACTTTTCCGGTTCAAAATGACACTTTCTCGGGTCAAAGTGACACTTTTCCGGGTCAAAATGACACTTTCAGGGTCCTAATTACACTTTACGGGTCCAAATTATACTTTACAGGTCCAAATTACACTTTACGGGTCAATATTACATTTTCCGGGTCAAATTACACTTTCCCGGTCAAAATTACACTTTCCTGGTCAAAATGACACCTTCCGGATCAAAATGACACTTTCTGTGTCAAAATGACACTTTCTGGGTCAAAATGACACTTTCTGGGTCAAAATGACACTTTCTGGGTCAAAATGACACTTTGACTTATTTTGACCCAAACAAATGTCATTTTTGACAGACAGATTTGGTTCGTAACGATTATCCGATGTTTGATTGAATTCGATTTGAGTAATATTAATTTTCACGCTTACTTATTCTAGTAATTCATAACAATGTGGAAATACATATTTGTCAGAAATGACAAAGTGTTTTTTTTACAGGAGAAAGTACAGGAGAAATGTATTTTTCGAATATTAGTATATTTTACATCAAACTTTTCTAAGAACAAACAGATACCTTAATTTAGTCTGTCTGATGGGCAGAGGTCACTGGCTAAAAAACAGAAACCCATGTACTGCAGTGTATATTCAGTTGATTGTGTTTAGTGAGCCGTAATTTTACCTTACCTTTTTCTTTAATCTTACAGGGTGTGGTACTTCGCTACCCCAATGGTTAGCAGCTAATTTGCCACGTTAATCTTTGAAAGTGTAGTTTCAAAATGCTGTTATTTTAACCAGAATTAATTTCCTGGACTGAAATTCGGACTAAATATTCCTTACATTAATACTTCAATTTGCGACGGATCAGCCCACCTTGGAATTTCCTAATTTTTGAGTGAAATCCATATATCTATTTCGTGATAACCTTGTGGAGACGTATTCATCTAGAACTTGCCCTGTGGAGACGTATACAATCTTTTGTTCCCTATTGTGCACATGTCTCCACAGAGCACCGTCTACTAGATCAATCATTCCAAAAAAATGACAAAAGAGGACTCTAACGATATAAAAACAGACCGCGTGTGCGCAATGTGGAAAATCATAAAACAAACCCACAGCCACAAACAAGGCCAATTAGATTGCTCCTTATTTCCCATTTTGTGACGCAAAATTAAGGAATTATGTCAAAGGAATCGAAGCATATCTAAGATAAGAGTGACTGCAGACAATAAAGAGATGTATACGAAAACCCAGACCACAAATAAGCAACTTTGTTGCATCAAACGAAGAAAATTCACCAACTGAGAAACGATCCGCGATTACCGATATGTTCATGCACGATTTCGATGTCCCATGTAATTATGATGAATCCATAAACGAAGAACATTTATCGCCGTGTGCCCTGTATTTTTTTGAAATGAACTTGAGATTCCAAATAAAAGAGCCCTGCATGTTACATCTGATTACCATGGTCATCTACAAGTTAACTTTAGAAATGCAACAAAGATATTACAATAACCTTTCCCCGACATATCGTCGGTGTTTTCACGAAGTGGCGAATCCATCGAAAATCAGATTTTTTTGCAATTTCGGTTTTTGCGCTATTTTGACTTAACTTCGTGTCCTAAACATTTCTGCAAAGTTTTAAGACCGGACAATGTTTAATTAATTAGTTACGCTAATTACATAAGTGGCGAATCCGTTGCCCTCTGGAATTTGCGTTTTCACGAAGTGGCGAATCCCTGATTCGCCACTTTGTGAAAACGCGACGCGCACACATTGCGTTTCCACGAAGTGGCGAATAACCTTTATCTCAGGGCTGCGGTGTTGTTGTCACGTCGTCACGTATACAAAACTATTTCGTTCTCACGGCTCATCATCATGCGACGGGCTGTCCTGGTAAGTCAGTAAGTTTTGACTGTTTACACGAGCTATATTGTTTGAGCTAAATTATATTTATGGTTGTATTGGACTTCAAATAAACAAATCGATTTTACGCGCATTCAAGTAGCAAAAATGTACACGTTTATTTCTCTATGCTTGATCAATTTGCCATTAATGCCTATATACAGGTAGTCGGACTCCCTTATCGCGGCATCTCTGTTGTAGCGGCATAGCACATCTCTCTTTTTGTGTTGCCAAAATGGTGACTCAAATATGCAAGTGCGTGAGAATTATTTTGTTCAAGTTTGCAATTTCTTTTTACAAATTAATAAGCTACAGTTTTAAGGTACAATGCAACATAATTAACAGAGTGTATAATTGACACAAAATGATTGATCACACCAGAAACAATTGTATGATACAAAAATGATATTTTGATTTATGGAACCAGAATACAATTCATACGTCTACTCCATCAGGTTATTATTTGCGTAAAGGAGTTAATTCTCAAGTTATTTTTATGAGTATTATTTACTGATAACAGATATAAATGAAAAACAGGCACATGTACTAACATAATCTGCTTGACGGTTATTTGATTTTCTTTCAACTTAAATACTTCATTAAAACGTCAAGCGTGTAAGTCACTGCAAGACACCGACTGCAAATTTGACATCACTTAATTTGACATGACACTAATTTGATTTATATCCAAATATGTCAGACGTTTCTTTATCCACATTTAATCCTCTTCATTTTTACTTAGAACGGATATATAATCCTGAATACAGCTGTGCAAGGGACCCATCCCCCTCAACAGTTACTGCTTCACTTGCAGTTTTTTTAAGTAATCTTCACAACAATCTTAGCACCAAAGTTTCTACAAAATATAAACAGTGTGTAAAATAAACGTTTCTTTTTTAAACAAAAGTACGATTTTGTTTACATTATTGAAAGAATTATTACCGATACTCTAGTTGGAACTTGGAGTAATCCCAAAAGCACTCAATACTCAAGGTTTCAAGGTTTAAGACTATAATTATCAGGCCAATAAGTCTATAAAAATACAATTCTATGTACAAAAATGTACATGTATTTGTCATCTGCGGTTGGATGCATCCCAAAACTGCTCAAAGGAAACTCAATGTTTTAACATGGCGGATGAGATAAAGTAGAAAGATCGCAGGTAACGCCATGTGGAAAGTATTCTCTTCTCCGAGGACGGACAGAGCACACTGTCCGAAACGTTAAGTTCTAAATTCAACCAACCGGTTCTTTTCAGAACCACACTTCTTCCAAGAAGCAATTACATGGTGTTACCTGCAATCTTTCCACTTCATTGTTTTAACGTTGTACATGAACACACATTTCGTTATCGGGCCAAAAAAATTCAAATTGTGAAGGAAATGGACCAAACCACCCATACAGCCTCAGTGTTTGATAGGAAATCAACAAGCGTGAAACTGGGAAATCACACACACTGTCAGCTAGGGAGCAGAACTTATCTAATAATCCCCCAATGCACAACTTTAGCCAGACTGGGCATGTCACGTGCAGCCGAGTCAATGTGTTCAACGTCTGATGGTGTCAAATCGCAACCACTCAGGTCCAGCCTATGTAAGTGCTTCATCTTCGGCAATTCCTTGGCCCACAACTCAACTGATTTGCTCAGAGCTGTGTTGTAAGCAAGGATCAAGTCAGTCAATCTGGGCATGACACCTACAGCCGAGGCAATGTGTTCAATGTCTGTCCATTGTATTGCACAATTGCTCAGGTTCAACGTCTTTATGTTCGTAAGTCGCGACAAATTATTAGCCCACGACTCAGCCGATCCGCCCAACGCTGTGTTGAGGGAAAGAATCAATTTAGTCAGGCTTGGCATGACACTTACCGCCGAGGCAATGTGTTCAATGTCTGTACATTGTAATGTACAATTGCTAAAGGTCAACGTCTTTAGGTTTGTAAGTTGTGACAAATTATTAGCCCACGACTCAGCCGATCCGCCCAACGCTGTGTTGAGGGAAAGAATCAATTCAGTCAGGCTTGGCATGACACTTACTGCCGAGGCAATGTGTTCAATGTCTGTCGATTGCAAAGTACAATTGCTCAGGTTCAACATCTCTATGTTCTTGAGTTGAGACAAAGTATTGGCCCACAACTCAGCCGATCCACCCAGTGCTAGGTTGTCGGCAAGGCTCAAGTTAGTCAGTGTGGGAATGTTGTTGCACACAAACATGACACAGGAAATCGTGTAAAAATTCCACGTCAGTGAGGAATTGCTCAGGTCCAGCGTGTGTTTTTGCTTCACTCTTAACAAATAACGGGACAACTTCTCAGTCGATACGTCAAGCGCCGGGTTGTCAGTGAGGATCAAGTCAGTCAGGCTGGGCAGTTCACTTACAGCCGATGCAATGCCTTCAATGTGTGTCCATTGCAATGAACAATTACTCAGGTTCAATGTCTTGATGTTCCTCAGTTTCGTCAAATTCTGGGCCCAAGATTCAGCTGATTCACCCAGTGCTTGGTTGTCAGCAAGGCTCAGGTCAGTCAGTCTGGGCATGTCACCTACAGCCGAGGCAATGTGTTCAATGTCTGTCCACTGCAATGTGCAATTACTCAGGTTCAAAGTCTTTATGTTCTTAAGTTGCGAGAAATACTTGGCCCACAACTCAGCCAATCCGCCAAACGTTCTGTTGCCGGCAAGGATCAAGTCAGTCAGTTTGGGTATGCCACTAACAGCCGGGGCAATGTGTTCAATGTCTGTCCATTGTAATGTATGATTGCTCAGGTTCAACGTCTCTATGTTCGTGAGTTGCGACAAATTCTTGGCCCACGACTCAGCCGATCCGCCCAGTGCTTGGTTGTCGGCAAGGCTCAAGTTAGTCAGTGTGGGAAAGTGGTCTAACACCAAGGAAACTGTAACAACATCTGTCCCTTTTATTGGTAAATTGCTCAGGTCCAGCGTGTTTTTTGGCCTCACTCTTAACAAGTAACGGGACCACTTCTCAGTCGATACGCCAAGTGCTGGGTTGTCAGAGAGGATCAAGTCCGTCAGTCTGGGCATGTCACATACAGCCGAAGTAATGTGTTTTATGTCTGTCCATTGCAATGTACAATTGCTCAGGTTCAACGTCTTTATGTTCGTAAGTCGCAACAAATTATTGGCCCACGACTCAGCCGATTCGCCCAACGCAATGTTGTCAGAGAGAATCAAGTTAGTCAGTCTGGGCATGTCACCTACAGACGAGGCAATGTGTTCAATGTCTTTCCATTGCAAGGCACAATAGCTCAGGTTCAATGTCTCAATGTTCGTCAGTCTCCACAAATGTTTGGCCCACGACGCAGCCAATCCGCCCAGTTTTTGGTTGTTGGCAAGGCTCAAGTTAGTCAACGCGGGAATGTGATTTACCACAACGGAAATTGTTTTAAAATCTTTCAGCTTTAGTGAGAAATTGCTGAGGTCCAGCTTGTGTTTTTCCTTCACTCTCAACAAATAACGGGACAACTTCTCAGTGGATATCTCAAATGCTTGGTTGTCAGTGAGGATGAAGTCAGTCAGGCTGGGCATGTCACTAACAGCTGAGGCAATGTATTTAATGTCTGTCCATTTCAATGCACAATTGCTAAGGTTCAACGTCTTTATGTTAGTAAGTCGCGACAAATTCTTGGCCCACAACTTTGCCAATCCGCCCAAATTTGTGTTGCCGGCAAGGATCAAGTCAGCCATTCTTCGCATGTCACTTACAGACGAGGCAATGTGTTTAAAGTCTGTCCATTGCAATGTGCAATTGCTCAAGTTCAACGTCTGTATGTTCGTAAGTCGCGACAAATTATTGGCCCACAACTTAGCCAATCCGCTCAACGCTGTGTTGCCAGCAAGGATCAAGTCAGTCAGTGCAGGAATGTGGTTTACCAAAATGCAAATCGGACCAACATCTTCCCACGCTAGTGAGAAATTGCTGAGGTCCAGCTTGTGTTTTTGCTTCACTCTCAACAAGTAACAGGACAACTTCTCAGTGGATATGTCAAGTGATGGGTTGTCAGTGAGGATCAAGTCAGTCAGACTGGGCATGTCACTTACAGCCAAGGCAATGTGTTCAATGTCTGTCCATTGCAATGTGCAATTGCTCAGGTTCAACGTCTGTATGTTCTTAAGTCGCAACAAATTATTGGCCCACGACTCAGCGGATCCGCCCAACGATGTGTTGTCAGAGAGGATCAAGTTAGTCAGTCTGGGCAAGTCACCTACAGTCGAGGCAATGTGTTCAATGTCCGCCAATTGTAATGCACAATTGCTGAAGTTCAACGTCTGTATGTTCGTAAGTCGCGACAAATTCTTGGCCCACAACTTAGCCAATCCGCCCAACGCTGTGTTGCCGGCAAGGATCAAGTCAGTCAGTGCGGGAATGTGGTTTACCAAAATGCAAATCGGACCAACATCTTCCCACGTTAGTGAGAAATTGCTGAGGTCCAGCTTGTGTTTTTCCTTCACTCTCAACAAGTAACAGGACAACTTCTCAGTGGATATGTCAAGTGCTGGGTTGTCAGTGAGGATCAAGTCAGTCAGTCTGGGCATGTCACTTACAGCCGAGGCAATGTGTTCAATGTCTGTCCACTGTAATGTACAATTGCTCAGGTTCAACGTCTTTATGCTCGTAAGTCGCGACAAATTCTTGGCCCACAACTTAGCCGATCCGCCCAACGCTGTGTTGCCGGCAAGGATCAAGTCAGTCAGTGCGGGAATGTGGCTTATCAAAATGCAAATCGTACCAACATCTTCCCAAGTTAGTGAGAAATTGCTGAGGTCCAGCGTGTGTTTTTTCCTTCACTCTCAACAAGTAACAGGACAACTTCTCAGTGGATATGTCAAGTGCTGGGTTGTCAGTGAGGATCAAGTCAGTCAGGCTTGGCATGTCACTTACAGCCGAGGCAATGTGTTCAATGTCTGTCCATTGTAATGTACAATGGCTCAGGTTCAATGTCTTTATGTTCGTAAGTTGCGAAAACTTCTCGAACCACCACTTAGACGATCCACCCAACGCTGTGTTGCCAGCAAGGATTAAGTCAGTCAGTGTGGGAAAGTGGTTTAACACAATGGAAATTGTACCAAAATCTTCAAGTGTTAGTGATAAATCGCTCAGGTCCAGCTTGTGTTTTTGCTTCACTCTTAACAAGTAACAGGATAACTTCTCAGTCGATACATCAAGTGCCGGGTTGTCAGTGAGGATTAAGTCAGTCAGGCTGGGCATGACACCTACAGCCGAGGCAATGTGTTTAAGGTCTGTCCATTGCAATGCACAATTGCTCAGGTTTAACGCCTGCATGTTCGTAAATCGCAACAAAATCTTGGCCCACAACTTAGCCAATCCACCCAATGCTGTGTTGCCAGCAAGGATCAAGTCAGTCAGTGTGGTCATGTCACCTACAGCCGAGGCAATGTGCTCAGTGTCTGTTGGTGTCAAATCACAAGAGCTCAGGTCCAGCCTATTTAAGTGCGTCATTTTTGGCAATTCTTTGGCCCATAGCTCAGCTGATTTGCCCAACGCTGTGTTGCCGGCAAGGATCAAGTCTGTCAGTGCAGGAATGTGGTCTAACATAATGCAAATCGTACCAAAATCTTTCCACATTAATGAGAAATTGCTAAGGTCCAGCTTGTGTTTTTGCTTCACTCTTAACAAGTAACAGGACAACTTCTCAGACGATATGTCAAGTGCCGGGTTGTCAGTGAGGATCAAGTCAGTCAGTCTGGGCATGCCACCTACAACAAATGCAATGTGTTCAATGTCTGTCCACTGCAATGTACAATTACTCAGGTTCAACGTCTTTATGTTCGTAAGTCCTAACAAATTCTTGGCCCACGACTCAGCCCACCCGCCCAGTGCTTGGTTGTCGGCAAGGCTCAAGTTAGTCAGTGCCGGAATGTGGTTTACCACAACGGAAATTATACCAACATCTTCCAGCGTTAGTGAGGAATTGCTCAGGTCCAGTGTGTGTATTTGCTTCACTCTTAACAAGTAACGGGACCAATTCTCAGTCGATTCGCCAAGTGCCGGGTTGTCAGTGAGGATCAAGTCAGTCAGGCTGGGCATGTCACCTACAGCCAAGGTAATGTGTTCAATGTCTGCCCATTGCAAGGCACAATTGCTCAAGTTTAACGTCTTAATGTTTGGCAGTCCCGACAAATTCTTAGCCCACAACCCAGCCGATTCCCCCAACGATGTGTTGTCGGCAAGGACCAAGTCAGTCAGTCTGAGCATGTCACCTACAGCCGAGGCAATGTTTTCAATGTCTGTAATCTGAAGGTTGCAATCACTTATTTCCAGTTTGTTGAGGCTTGTCAAGTGTTTGATATGAGGGGCCCATTCTATAGCTCTACCTCCCAATGTACTGTCCCCCTTGATACAAATATCAGTCAAGAGTTGGTTGTATTTTAGTGACGTCAGGGTTTTCTTCAGATCTCCCTCCGCTAAAGGACAACTGTAAAGCCTCAGATTCCTGACGCTTTCCATGTAACCCAGGGAAAAGGCTAAATCTCTGACCGAAGACACGCGAGAAACCTCAATGGCTTTAACGTGTACCAGTTGTGTCGTGCGGCTGTCTGCAGACTTACAGATGATTTCAAGAAGGTATATGAGACTGCGGAAATCATTATTGCCGCTTACACTGATAGTTGATGGGATGTGCGAGTCGCTGGTTAGACACAGTGGGGCCTTTTCTGACTGGCTTTCGAAAACACAGTTTCGACTAATCGCTTGTATAACATCCGACTGATACATGGGCCTATATCGATCCTTACTGAACTTACGGTCAAGCAAATTTACGATGTCGGTCATGCACTTCTCATTGTCACCACAACAAAAACGCAACAGGAAATCGTTTGAAACGACGCCCTCAAGTGTCAGACAAAGTTGCCTTAAATTGTTTTGAAATTCTCCAAATTGTACAACTTTGTACATCGTACGCTTTGCAAGTCCCCTGTTGGACATATGAACACTCTGCAAGTATTTCGCTGCACAGTATTCCTGTACTGTCTTGTGCATGAATTGTATATTGTTGTGAGATTTACGGTTCTTAATAACTCTCTGCTGGGTCAGGATGCCTGCTTTTAGTGCTAAGTCCAGCGCCTTGGATTCAAACTCATCTTCTTGGAATGAGAATGTCTGGTTAGCACCTATGAGTCCTTGCAGCGCAGTTTTTCCTATTGCAATCAATGTTTTTGCTACATCTTCGCCAGAGATTTCTTGTTTTCTCCTGAACATGTAATCAACTGCCGCAGAGAAAAGGCGTGAAGTTGTTTTGGGGAGTTGTTTACTTTCCCTCCACAATAAGCAAATAAGCAGCAACAACATAGGATTGTTAGCTAAATCACTCATTGCGTTGGACTTACTTATGGTTTGGATAAGTGCCTTGCCACTATCACGATCTTCCTTGTAGAACTTCCGAATATATTCATTAACATCCTCATCAGTAAACCCCAGAACCTCTACGTGTGTGCAAGGATTTTGGATAAGTGATTTTGACGTCAGTTTCTCAAGATGAGAGGGGCGTGTTGATACACAGATTACACATTCCCGGTATTTTGTTCTATTGAGTGCTTTTAGGATAGAACCGAATGAGGCTGCATCGAGTGTTTTGGTGCTCATTTCATCGAAACCATCCAAAAGAATCAATACCTCATTTGGGCTGGCTAGGATGAATTGATCAAGTTCATCTGTTGCTATTCCTGAATCTTCGCCTAGAAGCTGATCGAAAGTGGAAGCAACAAGATCAGATTCTTGCGACAGGGCACACATCTTTAACAGAAAGACAAGCTCGAATCTTTTCAGGATTTCGCTTGCCTCTTCGGCCCAGTCAAATGCAATCTTATCAAAAATAGTGGACTTCCCCACACCCCCCATGCCATAGAAAAGGAGGCGTTTGATGAGTTCCCCAGTTTTTGTCCTTAATCTGAATATTTTGGCATACTCTGTTGAGTTTACAGTTTCTCCTTTCTTATCAGTGACTTCTGCTACCCCTTCTCGTGTTTCTAATTGCACTTTGGTGTATATACCAGTTATGTGCTTTTGGTCATTATCAACCCCAGGTAACAACTGCACGTAACTGCCTGTTGTTTTATAAAATATCTTTAACTTGTCCCTAGTCTTGTTACCCGCTTCTTGGCAGGGATCCATCAACCTTGCTTCTTGGTCGGGTCTCTGACTGTACTGGGGTCTGGGTGCTGGCAGTCCTATTCAGATCAAAACAAACAACATGTATTGCTTCAATAATAGAAAGTTTCTGAAATGGATTGAATAGTCTTCCTCTACGGAGAAAATCATGTCTAGGAAATGATGAATAGGGATATCCAGTCCTTTAGTAAGGCAGTGCACAAAATAAATTTAACCAAAAAGAGAAATGTATTGGCTTTTGTACAGTTGTTGGATGCACCCTTATCAAATTTTGCACCTTTTACACGGACAAAAATAAATTCAGACAAAATGCTGGCAACTGCAGGTGAACAAAAAAATTGACTGGACATCATTATCCCAAGATTGCGAAAGAGAATAACAATAATCTTCTTGTGGTAATTACCACAATCCAAATACTAAAAGTCATATCTGGTTCCTTCAATTCTGATTCAAGATAAGCCAAAGTCAATCAAAAATTCTTTTTTTAATAATAGGTTTCTCACGTTATACCAACAATGATTATTCTGTTTGTTACCAACAGCCTATTAATCCATTCATTTATTCATGTATGAATGCAAAATAGTGTGCCTTTTTTATATATGGCAGAAACACAATGCAGAGGGAGGTACAGTGTACACATTTGAAGTTTTCAATACTTTGTCAATTGAAAATGTTTGCAGATGCACAGTCGGCAAATCATACACACTCTAAAAAGACCTGGTCAGATTGGACCCGAATCCGGGTCAGATTTGACTTGACACTTCTCCCGAGTCAAAATGACACTTATCCAGAAGTGTGTCAGGTCTCTGAGTAGAATCTGACCCCGGACTTTCAAGAGTGTAAGTACGACTTTGATGACACACAGCTTTGTCATTATGTAGAAGTCGAACATATTTGACCTGACATAATTGTCATATCGACGTAGACAATTGTCATTTTGACATAAAAATGTATCACGCACACAATGCGAAGAGAGTATTTATAATTTATGCAGGTAACATCTTTCTGTAATTCTTCTTTACATTGCCCAATGAGCAAAGACATGTATTTACCGTGCAGAAATCCGGCAATATCTGCTCTTCCGATCTTCTCCAATGCTGTGCACAACGTGGTCCTCTGCTGTTCAACACCGGTGGACTGGGCCTGTTTCCATGCTACAAGCATTTCCAGACCTTGCCTTTGGACATCTTTTGCGTAATTTGCCTCGATAGTCTGAACCTCTACCATCTCAAAGCGCAACTCAACTGCCAGTTTTACCCAATCAGGACCAAGCCTCTTAGCGACCTCTTGAAGAGTTCTGTCATCTAAATATGATTTGGAAAAAATGATAACAATTGAAATACAAAGTAATACTAAGAAAATCCATGCATAGGCCAAAAAAATTGCCAGAGCTACCAGGATCTCTTTCTGCCAACTTGCCTACCTCACGGTTGCTTCCAAAAATTAGACGCAAAAACATTTGACTCTCCTTAATTGACCCCTAGCAACTGGTCTAGCTCATACGCACCTGTTGCAGGGGTGGGTAACTGAGCCTCTGTAGGGAGATCAGTCCGTTGGTACCGGTAGGCTGCTTCAGAGTGTTGCATCGTGGTAGGGACATCAGTCCGTTGGAAGGCTGCTTCAGATTGTGGCATCGTGGTAGGGACATCAGTCCGTTGGTAGGCTGCTTCAGATTGTTGCATCGTGGTAGGGGCATCAGTCCGTTGGCAGGCTGCTTCAGATTGTTGCATTGTGGTGGGGACATCAGTCCGTTGGTAGGATGCTTCAGATTGTTGCATTGTGGTGGGGACATCAGTCCGTTGGCAGGCTGCTTCAGATTGTTGCATTGTGGTGGGGACATCAGTTAGTAGGCAGGCTGCTTCAGATTGTTGCATTGTGGTGGGGACATCAGTCCGTTGGCAGGCTGCTTCAGATTGTTGCATTGTGATGGGGACATCAGTCCGTTGGCAGGCTGCTTCAGATTGTTGCAACATGGTAGGGGCATCAGTCCGTTGGCAGGCTGCTTCAGATTGTTGCATCGTGGTAGGGACATCAGTCCGTTGGTAGGCTGCTTCAGATTGTTGCAACATGGTAGGGGCATCAGTCTGTTGGCAGGCTGCTTCAGATTGTTGCATCGTGGTAGGGACATCAGTCCGTTGGTAGGCTGCTTCAGATTGTTGCATCGTGGTACTTTGGATCTCCTGCCCACAAATGAAATAAATCCTGTATGTCAATGCTGAATGAAAAGTTCTGTCACATTTTGCTCTTGTCAGGTAAACTTGTGAATACATGTACATGTAACATAGTTTTCACTAATTAAAGACCATTGAAAAAAACACAAGGAAAGACAAAACTTAATTGTTAAAATGATCTCAGAGTGCACTAATCCTATTCACAACTGATGCAGAAAGGCTATAAGATCGTAGAATTAAAACTGTGGTAACGTGACAAAAGAAAAAAAATCACTTTCGCTGTTCGCATGGAGTGCCGCCAGACTGCATGTGTGACATATATATAGGGTAAACTGGGGTAAAACTCCGCCCACTTGACCTGTTTCCACAGCTGGTAAAAAAAATTATAAGATGAAGTACAATGTAAATAAAAACTAATAATAAATTTGGCTAAAGTCGTGGCAAATGTTACAGTGCATAGATACCGGTATTAAGTGCATGTAATATAATTTGGTGTCAACCTCGTGATGAGTCCAATTCTCGGTTAGCGATAAACATTGATTTGACGAGTAAACCTTTCAGACTTTTGTCCTTTATATAGGCAGGAATTGGTTCCCTGGTAAACAGATTACATAATTTCGGGTGTTTCGAAATTTGTGGTAACGTGACAAAAGAAAAAATTTGGATGTTCCCAAATTTCGGGTGTTCCGAAATTAAATCCCAGTCTTTCAGCTATGCTTTTGTTAGCTGCTTGGTTTTGATGTGTGGTGTGTAGATTATCTTGAAGACTAGAGGTGGTTCTTTTGGTCGTGTTCCATTCATGATGTATTGCTCACAGTTTTAAAATTGTACGTCTTTTATGACTTTCAATTTCCTCTTTCTTGTGGTTACAGAGTAGAAGAGTTTCTCCATGATTGCATTTCTTTGCTCTGAGAAATCGGTCTCATTGTTACAGAGATGTGCATATCTTAGTACTTCTCCTTTGATAAAGCCTTAGGTAATCAGCAGTAGGCTAGAGACATACTATGGTATGCCTAATAATATTGACTATGCTTTGGCTCAACATGATTGAAATAGATTTTTCAATATTGGCAGGCATTATACATACATTTGTAAGCCTACAAGTTTGTTATGGGCGAATTATGTACGCTCATGTTCCGCTTCCTTCCACATAAAAATACCTGGTTTAAATGATCAAGTTTGTAGTTATAATTAACCAGCTGTGTTTGAAAAGTTATTTTTGTACTTGATGAAGTATCCCTCAATATTAAATTAATCAAAAAATATGACTATACTACCGGGAAACCTGTGGTATATCCAATTTTTTTTTATAAATGTGGGTGGGCATTTTTCCCCCGAGGCCCGGGTAAAAACGCCCGCCAAACTTCCTCCCGAAAAGGGGGGGAAATTTCCCCTTATCAAATAATGACCGTGATTTTATATTTGCACCTGATAGAGGAGACATGTATTGCATAAAACCACACATTTATTTCCTAGTGTCTCCAAGTAGTACTGAGATATTTAACAAAAACCTAAAAATTGGGCGTTTTTACCCCAGTTTACCCTACACGACATAAAAGAGCAAGTTTCGTAAAACTGCCCCAAGACCAAGACCAGAGTCAGCCACAACCCCTATTGACTGTCACAAGTGAGATAATTACAATATACAAAATGTACAACAGCAAAACGCACTAATAGTAATATATAGGTAATTTGACGTTTACTATATAATCCATGAAACTGAAAAAAAGTAAACCATTGCTGTAGCCAAACTTACAGTTAAGTTCAGAGCGGGTTGATTCACAGACATCCGAGACAACACTGACGCACTGCAGCTGCTACGCCCACCGATCTCATGACCCCTTGACGGAACTACATTATGCAAATTATTATCTGGATTAATCTCCTTATAATTATGGTGTCAACTCAACCTTAACAAGTTAATAATTAACAAGCAACTTCGATATTCTGTCACATGCAAGCAATTCCCTGATTTCCTCCATATGAAATAAACCATGTATTTCAATATTTTATTCATGATCTCAATATGAATATAATAATCATACCATAATCTTAATTAAAAGATTAAAATGTTCTGTTTTAAATCCTGACAAATCGCGCAGCGATATTAAACCCAATATTTGTCCTTGGTTTTCTCAAAAAGTTCTGAAGTCCACACTGAAGTGCTTTGCTTTGGTCTGCCGTGATGCAAAGATGTACAAAGTTGACGAGTCAGTGGGTGACTTTCCTTATCAAATGACGCAAATTCAAGTGTTTACAAGTGTTATTCTTAGCTCTGCATCTATTCAATGCAAATTAATTACCTTTGAGCCTTTAGTCAACACGTACGTGTATAGGCCTACATAGCTTGGTATAATACAGCATGCAATACGGCAATGGTAGATTGAATTGCTTTATACATATATTGTATCTTGTGGTATTTTAATACCGGCATTATGAGAAGCTATGCAATTCCCCTGTTAGAACAAAATAATGCTGAAATAATTACTTGGAAGTAGGCCTACATCCTGAAACTGTCACTATAATCTGGACCAATAATAAAGGCCTCCAACATTTAATTCAGTATAGCAACCATTTTAATAAAGAATCTAAGGGCCTGAAAAATTGTTCAAAATATGTTGCAAAAGAAAAGTACTTACCCAAATAACATATTCAACTGCTACTTCCTGCAATCCAGCCACGCTTAAGACCTATTTTAATGCAGGCTAAAGACCTCTTTTGGGGTAATGTTTAAATTTTATACTTTTTGTTAATTTTACCTTGTAAAACTTTGGGAAAAATGTAGAAGTATGGTACAATCCTGTTGTCCCATCCTGTTGAGAAAGTCATGTGGTATAAATTCAGTGTTCGTGTAATCAGGGAGATAGCTGCATGCTGCAATGGCATGGCAAAGAGAACACTGACTTTGTCACCTTCTTACAAAACATGTTTTTTTAATCTGTGCGAGATGTCCTGCCACGGAGTTTGTACAGTTTTCTTTCTACATTATGCATGCATGCAGATGCCTTGTGGTTTTCATCATAGTTATTGTAATTTTTGTAACACACACAAAAATCATATCAACACATAACCGCTGCGTGTTGAAAACAAGTGCAGACACATTAAAGAAATTAAAGATTTTTTCTTTAAATTTTATTTTAAATTAAACTTTACTCCTCCTCTGAAGTTTAGCTACCCTTGAAAAGTTATCATTTACCATTCATTACAATGGGTCTATTTTGTTTTGATTGACAGTTGTGACTTTATATAATAGTTTTGAATGGATTGTATTATTTTTTTGACCAAGAAAAGCACACAAATGCTCTGTATACCTGTCGACAATCCATGGTTGGCACATTTTGCCAATCATGCACGAGTTGCATTACCAAACTATGAGCTTTAGGCCCAACATTGTAAAAAGGAAAAATAACTTTTAATTGTATGTTTCCAAAAATATTATTGGATTCTTTCAAATAACCAACAAATACTACAAGGGGGGGGGGGACGGGGACGGCTATGCCCCCCCCCCCCCCCCCAACGAGCCAATTTTTTTTAAAGTGATATCGCCTACACCACCATCTTTTGCTTAAAAAAAATGGTTAAACTGGTCACAATCAAATTGCCTCAGCATTGCTCTGATCACGAGCATCTACAGATTACAATCCAACAAATGTTCAGGGCCCTCAAGCATTTCGAATGGCAAAAGGGAGTCAGGAACTAGATAACTGGTTTCCACCCATAAAAGCTGCCCTAGTTCCCGACTCCCTATTATCGTTCGAAATGTACTTGCGTTTACAAACGAGATCCAGTCTACTCATTATCATAATCGATGCATTGCGCGCAGTAACCGAATCGCACTTGCACTCAGGATACGGGGACCGTCGAATGTATGCTGGGCATGAGGATCACATCGCGTCGTTCAAACATTAACACGAGTCGGAAATTTAACGTGTTCACGCTCGTGAGGGGAGCTCTAGGAATTAAACGGGAAATTTCACTTTTCATCTGGATCATAAGTAAACTTCAGTACTAATCATCGATGTCTACTTGTACCTCAGGTGGCGTATTTAGTAATTTGGAGGCCATTTTGAGGGTGAAATCTGATGTTTTTGTTGGGCAATGTTGGGTTTTGGGGTCAAGGACAAAATTGTGTCGCTCAGCATATATACGGATTAGCTTGGACCCTATTGCCAGACCATGTCCGAATGTTAAAAAGGCGATAAGTTGGTCCAAGTTACTGTGGTAACTTTCAATGATGTTTGACAAAGATTAATGCCAAAAGTGGCAGTGAGAAAAACGTGTACAAAGTCTATGGGATTTAGGCGACAAAAAGAAGAAGGGAAACAAATTGCAACAAAAACAAACTTTTCCACAACTATCATGACTATGCGGAAAAGCCAAAAATCTTTCAAAAGTTACAAATAGAAAGGTCTCTCCAAGGCTTACCTGGCCTTGTAGTTGTAAGTTGATTTTTGAGCACAAACCACATCACTGGGAACCGTACACCATGTACACGGACGTCGGGAAACCAGACTGTGCCGTCGTGCATTTACAATCGAGTTATCAAATCATCATGATCATGGACTTCTGCTGTGCCGCCCAACTTGTTATTTTGTTATGCACCCAAAACATGCATGACGAAATATCGGTGCCCATGGCAGGCATGCAATGCTGCATGTTGTCGACCTTGAATTTCTTTAAAACGTCCTTTGGCCGGTTTTATTCAACCGGCATCAGTGATTGTTGATGTTGGTGACACTTCTCGTGCCTGCGCACGTGCAACTCGAACATGGCGGCAATGTGAAGCCCTGTTTTCACTAGAGGGCGACCCTTTTAAGCTAGCGGCTTTCACATGCACAAGAGGAGAAAACGAAGTGACTGAAAACATGTTGCACCAACAGTCGATTTTTTTGATGCAGACAATGTTAACATGAATTTTTTTTCTTTTCTTGTACAAATTATAATTTAAAAAAGAACAAGAAATGCGAAAATCGGTAGATATGGAACTGACAAGAAAGATTGAACAAAACAACTGGCCTTTTCTGCTTGATCTTTGAATTCAAGTCAATTCAATTCAATTTCAATTTATTGGTTCTTTCAGGAAATTTGTTTTGTCACATGAAATACATAAATAGATATTTCATTAATATACTCCAGAAAATTTAAATAAGTAAATTACTAAAATAAATAACATGATCTTCTTGTTGGTGAAAATGTATTAAAGAATATCAGTCAAAATTACAGATCCGGAAGAACAGTATGAAAACCTGACTGCGTAGGAGATGGGAACAGTAGTAGTAGGAGAAGGGGTCTTAGAAAGGGGCTAAACAACTTTGACAGAACTTAACGAGTCTATAATTATTTCCTTAGTTTGAATAAATTTCCCTGGTTTTTGAATAAAAGTTTGGTAGAAAAACTTCATTCAAACGCAAGAGGGCGCAATTTATAGTGCGCAGTAGTCGGTCTAGCTTCCTGTCGTGACCACTAGTATATATATATAATCTATATATATAAGAGAGAAGTTTACTCGCCCCCGAGACGATGTTTGCTCCTGAAAGGATCCGAGACCGCGGGCTCACGCGGCGCCAAAATCGCTCCACGTCCGTGGAAAAATGCGGAAGGTGTCTTCCGCCGGGTCGGACACTTCGGGTCGTCCTGATTTTCCCGTACGGACCGGCGATCCGTTTCGTCGATTTTTCGTGACTGCGTTTTGCGCAGGAATTTGCCGTCGTGTGCGCTTTCACGTTGACTGCTTGGCCGCCCCCTGTGCTGGCTTTTCTGCGAGTCTAGACTGTGCGAGGTCAGCGAGGTCAACGTAGGGGTTTCGTTTACGTGTTCTACTCAGCCGTTCTGCAAAAGTGTTCACCAAATGGTAGTATGGGTGGTAGTATGGGGTGACCTTGGCAAAATATTTTTTCTCCATGGTGCGTGGCCACCAAGTGTACCTATTGTTTCCTGTGCTTTGCTTGCCGCCCCTGCGCCGAGTGCAACGAATACTCAGAAGGACTATACATTAGTATGCCTTGCGCGGTCTGACCAATCGAAAGTCTACACTGCATAGTATTTCCGGGCTATGCAAAACTGTCGATGGCAACGCGTACTGCAGCCTGCTCCACACCCTGCAAACGAGGTTGGGTCTACGGTGCTCGCTATTTGAAGCGCAAGCATGTGACGTCGCGTGATAGAGTGCTGTTGCTTCCACAATGTGTGTACAGCTCCATGCTTCCACCACCAAGGCTGAGCGTTGTGAGTTCGCTGCCCGCCACGTATAATTCAGTGTCGCGTTATAATTTCGGGGGCCTGTTTGGGATCAACGAAGGATCGATGCATTGCTTCAAATATCGCGATCTTAAACAAAGTCACAAAAAAATCGACGAAAAAGTGTCCGACCCGGCGGAAGACACCCACATTTTGCCACGGACGTGAAGCCGCGGTCTCGGATCCTTTCAGAAGCAAACATTTCTCGGAGGCCGAGTAAAACTTGCTCTTATATATAGATGGTTGAACCAACTTGAAAAAAAGTTGAATCGCAGACGGTCTCGCAAATTGTAAGAAGTTCAAGTTTACGTTTGTTGAAGAGTCCAATACTGAAACTTAATTATGACCTTCCTCCATGATTCAGACCGTTTGTAATTTTTTGGTAACACTCAACATTTTCATTTTAAATGACACCTTCACGTTTTATTGCATTATGATTTATTGTCAAACTGTACAACCAGCCTTCGCCTGTGTACTACAGTAACCTTTATCTTCCCCGAATAAAAATATTGTAGCCTACAATAATGATTCTATTGCTCAGAATACATGTAGCTGATTCAATTACTCAAAACTCAAAACTTTCAAAGATGATCTTTTGCTCAAATTGGTTTTAGTGATCAGAAATTGCCTCAGATCACACCACAGAAATTGCTATTCTTTAACTGCATGTCTCCCCAACTATATCCCCCATTTACATTTAACTCCCCACATTTTCATCCCCAACACTACGCCCTACCCGATGTCGTGCCAAAAACCGTCCGGTGCCAAATAGTGTCCGCTGAGCATGCGCAGTAGGCGCCAGACACTATTTGGCATGTAATACATGCCAAATAGTGTCCGGTGACAAATAGTGTCCGGGAGCCGTCGATCGAGCGAGAACAAGGGCGCACGTACGTACATGTACGTCCTGCCGGACAGTATTTAGCTAAAAAAATCGGACAGTATTTTGCAGGAAAAATCGGACAGTATTTTGCAAGGGGGAACCGGACAATATTTGGCAGGGCGGGGAATCGGACAGTATTTGTTGGCAGGAAAAATCGGACCGTACGTGGTTCTTATCATTCTTTGCAAAATTTGGTCATTTCACCGTTCTTTTCCCAGACCAGATGAACGAAAAATACGCATGTCGGAAATACACGAATTCCGCATATGAATAGTGATTAATTGCATGCTGACATGAGTGGGTCATGTTTACACAACATTCCTTTGTCCATGGTTCAGCCTACTTTACTTATGTGGGGAAAATAGTCCACCCCTTGATTATGTTGCGCCAGAAGTACCGTAGTTATGGTTATATAGTGCTTTTGAAGAAGTAAAAATGCTAGTGTAAAGTACTGACCATGCTGACAGGCCTAGCCTAGGCCAGGGCAAGATTAGTACTTAGGGGGAAACAAGTACAACGTGGCCTAGGCCCTTCATAAACATGTAATAATAAGCATTAAATAATAAGCCAGAAACGAGTTGAACAATTATGTCACCCATTTCCATTATTTCGGATTTTTAGCTTAGAGCTGAAATAGGATGCAACAACCTGCATAAGGAAATGTCCACAATTAATGCATTAGCCCTATTGGATAACGGCATGATAAGTTCATGTCAATATAAAAATGTTTCCACATCTTTTTATCCAACAGCAGCTATAGGATATGTAAGCTTGACATCTGCAGTTTCAGAAGTGTCAACATCAGACTGCTTGGCGTGCCTTGATGTGAAACGTAAGTCCTTGAGAAAAAAACATGTTGTGTCATTTCAGCACCATGGTTGAAATCCAGACTAATTAAATAGCAAATAAAAGTATACAAAAATGAAGTTTCACAATATTAAAAATTGTACTTCACAGATCCATAGAACATGATGTCATTGGATACAATGTCCCCATCACTGCTTCTAAATTTAAATTATTGAGTGAATGAATAGGCCTACTATATGATAGTTGTTCTAGTAACTGTGGAACTTTTTTATTGTCAGTGTGTTTTGTTTGTTTCATTTACAGAGCTGTTCTGGTTCAGCATGAGTGAAACATGCTGCATCTCTTCAGGAAGAACTGTAAAACTGGGTACAGGTGTTTCTGAGGTAGGCACATTTTTAGAAACCAGGGAAAAGTGTTGATTCAGATTGTGACTGATAAAAGTACACTCTGTCCAGAAAAAACAACAGGTTTATTATATTTGAATGTCCCTTCATTCTTTGTTATGAATGTAATTTAACATGTAGCACTATTGCCAAAGTTGTTATTTTTCACCAACATAAAATCATGCACTTAACAAGGAGTTGCCTTGTTCATTGTGCCTTAGACATTTGGATTTTTGCTAAAGTTTGTCTTCATAATAACACATTATGCTTTAGTTTTGAAATTCAGAAGGAACTTATATTGAAAATGATAAGCGGTGACTAAAGCTTTTTGGCACATGTTAGCAACCATAGTTTGCAGCAAGTATGAATATATATGTTGTAAATAATAACAAACAATTGAATTACAATTCTTTTTCCCATTCTCATTCTCTCTCTGTCTTTGCAGGCGATGCTGTGCACGATGGACACGATTCCAACAGAACCTTCTTCGTGTCCTAATTTAGGCTCATTGCTTGCACAAAAAACCCTGAACAGTTGGAATGCATGAGTCCCTTATGTGTGAAATTAATCTCTTCTGTGATTTCTTAATGATGTCCATTGCACATTTAATTAAAAGCAACTATCTTCAGACTGCTGTCTCCTCTTAGTACAGTTCACCAGCTCAAAGATTGCCCAATAACTTTTCAGGGTAAGATTTTCTCTAAATCCTTCCAATGAAACTGAGGATTTTGAAGCGTGCAATTATTGACACATAATCTATTTGTGGATGTCTAACTAACAAGCTGACAACTAAATACCAGAAACCAAACATGTGACTGAAAATTGTATGGAAGTAACATGGAAATAGTTTTATTTCTACCTTTTAGGCAATACAGATAATTTGTATTTAGTGAGTGCCCTATGAACGAAGAGTTTTCTTCAAGTAACGATGGAGTTCAGCGTCTTAAAGTCTCTGAAGCATTAAAAGTCTCAGATGTAATCGATTCATCGTGATTAATTTTGTAGCGTTAATAGTGGAGATAGTGTCAGGGCGGCCCATCTCATGAATAACAATTATCAGAATGTTAAAAAAAATTCTACATAACCCCAAGCAGTAACTGCTTTTACTTAAATCTCTTTTAAATGTTCCTTAATTGTAAACTTGAATTATACCTAAATTTATCAATAAAGAAGTTCTGAATTTATCAATAAAGAAGTTGCTTGTCAGTATGATTTTTTTATCCACCCCTTTACAATCACTATATTAAACCTCCCTTAAAATGACAATGATATAAGAAATAAGCTATTGTTCAGGGTCACATTGCAGGAAATTCAATACCAGTTAAAATAAACTGTAATCTTGACATTTAAACTTGTACATGTAATACTACAATCCTCAAACGTGTTTAATTTGTACAAAATAAGTACATGTAATAGCAAGTTCCACCATTAGTCGATCGAAACCGAGGCGGTCACGCCGATTGAACGTATTCACTGTGCGCGTATGAGCGTAGAATCGCGCGAAGAGCTTTTGGCCTCGTTTTCAAGTTTGGCGAATCCACTGACCTCTGCGTTTTGCGTTTTCACGAAGTGGCGAATCCGCGCGCTGTGTGTGGCGAATCCGTTAAGGTCTGGATTCTGCGTTTTCACGAAGCGGCGAATCCGTTTCGTAATTAACAGCTCTTAAACTACAGATCCAATTGCAGATATATGTATCTGGTCATGTCATTTAACTAATGAGCTGTCGTACCAGTGAAAAGTCTTTTGAAATTTGGATTAAAAGTGGGGAGAAATGACCGTTTCAAAAAGTGACCAACTTCAAAACCGATTTTCTCAAAACGCAGTGTTCGCGCTGTGTGGGCGGATTCGCCACTTCGTGAAAACGCCGACGATATTTCCGAAAGCAACCTTCCAAATCTCCACAAGCTAGATATACCGAAATTACGACATTTTCATACTACCCACTGAACTGAAAATGAATTTTTAAATTATTGAACCGAAATGGTTTTCTGTTCAAATTGTGCACCCCAAATGTGTGAGAAAACTTGGCTCATTGGCTTACTGCCTTGTACTGACACAACAACGAATTACCAAAGAAAACAAAATTTACGACAGCCAAATATTCAAAGTTCTGGCAATATTTTGTGCTGAAATAGCTGAAGCGTGAGGTTTCTGACTGAAATGATACTCTTTTGCTCATGCATTATGTACATTGGGATTAGCATAAAAACAAAAGTGCTCAAAAAATGACCATAATTGTAGCAAAATCAAAATTTAAAATAAGGTTCAATGGAACACAAAGGTGCATTTAGAAGAACTGCGTTAAAACATTTCATTACATGGGAGTAACCTGGAACGAAACAAAAGTATCTATCCGTTGAATTTGTGTGATACACGTTTTAAAGTAACCGGGAAAATCTACTTCTTCAATATCTACCAACGTAGGCTTTAACTATAATATTCTGCTGGTGAATTATAAAGTGCTTCGACAGAAACAAAAACTACTCACCACGGATACGATTCACCTGAGGAAAAATACAGCCAGCGCATTCCAAAAGTCTTCACCATTGCGCCGTGCCCCAACAAAATTCAGCTTATTATAACGATCTCTAACTACGTCGCCTAATGGCCTCAGTCGCTGTTTCGAAAGCCAAGGTCGAAGTTGGCAATTTGGCTTAGCTCAGTTCGCCATGGTCTGATGGTTCATCCGAGCAGTCCTATGCAACGACGAAGCTAAATGTATTAATAAATTGCTTTGAAAAGAGTATTTTTCGTCAATGTTTGCTCATAATTGCGTATTTACTTAAACAACCGTGTGGCTGCAATTTGACTGTTGCCTTTTATTTCGACAGGACTCGTAAGGGGCCATTCAGATTTTTCAGTGTTTTAAAATTTCGATCTTTTTTTCAAAATTGTGGGTGGGTGGGTCAAGCTAAATAATTGAAAATCGAAATTCACTTTCCATGGAAAAAAAAGATAAAAAAACAAAGAAAGATAGAGCTTTTGACTTGCCTGAACTACGCGCAAACGTTCCGATATAGCGATGCGTGTTTCTTTTCCAACTTCGTCCCCTGTATGTACTGTCAGTGGCATAGCCAGGAATTTTTCAGGGGGGGGGGGGCTTGAACATTTCATTGGGGGGGGGGGGGGCGTCATGTAGATCAATGATAATTTTTTTCGAAACTCAAAATCTCAGTGGGGGAGGCGACCCGGGGGTGGGCGACAAGGTTTCATGGGGGGGGGGATGGCGCCCCCCCCCCCCCCCCCGTGGCTACGCCACTGCAGGTCATACAGTTAAAGTTTATGTAAACTTGTATGAAAAGTCAAAGAAAAGTATTCATGATCTATTTGACACCAAATTAAGTTTGTGTTAACTTGCCGGTAACGCCCTAAAAAAATTATCCAGACAAATAAATGTTTATTTTGTAACATTTTATGTTCGTCTGTCCGTCTTCTATGCTGTTATGTTTACTTTTAGGTACCTTCAATGGTACTATGTTTAATTAACCTGTTCATTTGTTTAATTAAACTAATAACGCACATATAGTTGCCAAATATGGCACTAACAATTTTGAGGTCGGCAATTTCGTCTTTAAAAATCTTGGTACGTCGGGTTACCGTACACACAATTGTCCTGGAAAAAAACAGTACCAAAGTACAGAAAGTCGTACGCAAGAGCTCCCCAGCAAGTATCGCTGACGCCATTAGGCCTATGATTTCAACATTTTTCACTGTGTCACACAGTGAAATAACTAAAAAGCGTCGTTGTATTGTGGACACATAAAACATTCAAGTCGCGTTCTTGCACACTTTCTGCAAATCGACTGGATATCCTTGAACCACTGCCCCTGCTTTGCACAAGTGCACACGAATGAAAGATTCGACTTTTATTCAAAGAAACTTCTATGTACAGTCACCAGACTCTATTCAGTAAAGTCCCCGTCAAAACGAAAGTAAACAATCCACGTGCGTAACGCACGGCTACACCATCGTACAGTGTGGCAGGGACACCAACAAGTAAAACAACAATTAAACATTTTAACAAAAAAATGGATAAATATTCTGATTGAATTTCGTTAAAAGATACTTTTTGGTGAGGTATCACATATTTTATCACATAAAAGAGGATGACCAACAACTTCACGCCGTCACTGAACTAGACACACATGTACATGGTGTTCAAGTACATGTACATACAAGTGCATGTACATGTACAGTCATGTTCAGTTTTTTATTAATCGAAATTAGGGGTGGGTGGGTGGGTCAAAATAATTTGGAAAAAAAGTCGAAATTTTAAAACATTGAAAATTCTGAATGGCCCCTAAGGTCACTCTCTTCCTCAACTTGAATACTTGGCATGCACTAAAAGACAATTAACCTGACCTCCCAGACCTCGGATGGTTGAGTTTTTTCATTAACTTAATCAGGGTCGCTTGGAGTTTCCATCCTTAATTAGTTAATTAACAAACACGGTGGATTAGACATAATACGTCTATTCTTATGATACATCCTTTTTCTATGAACACAACACCAAATTAATATAAAACATATATCACCATAGGGTACGGCTTGCCAAGGGGCAGTCAACCAGTTGGAGCTGGCTCTTTAATTGTTTAATTATAAACAATAATTATACAGATATTCAATGTAATTTAACAAACTCCCGAATAGCGGTAGCGGTACCTTCCTCGCCTTCCACCGCTGTGATCCGGGTTCGAATCCCGCCTGGGCCAATATGTGGATTGGGTTTTCAGTCCCTACCTGATTCCGTGGGTTTTCCCCAGAATATTCTTCAGGGCTTTTCCTCTCACCTCTAAAACTGTAACTTCTTCTCATTGTCTTCTCTCCACAGGTTTCTTCATGCTTGCGAGCTACAGTGCCTATACTAGGCGCTTTTGAGGAATCCTTAGTTTCATTACCAGAAATGATTAATACTTAATAATAATAAAATACGTATTGATGGCCATGATTAACAAAGTACATGGAGTACTCTTTACGATGTTTTATTCCAATGGCTATCTCGATACCAACATTGCAGAGCCCAGAACTTCGGCATAAGTAATCAAAGTAATCTAAATATTTTCATCTTAAGGCAAGCAAGAAAAAGACCCATCTTCACAGTGTTTTACAGGTTTTTTTAACAGTACTTTTATGCAAATTATATGTATGACTGAATCCCGTCTCGTGAATTCAAATTCACAACGGTAAAGGTTCCGCGCACTATTGCAAAATGCCAATAGGCCCCGCCACAAACGTACAATTTCCGAGGTGATGAGCTTCGATTTTTGCTGAATTCGGAAGTGTCTCTGCCAAATATCAATAAAGAGAGGAAAATTACTGTTCAGTGTTTAAAACCTATGCAGTTGAAATGCTTGAAAGTTGCCCTCATTGAGACACTGGCGTTTTTACGTACTTTTTGAGGTAGGACATGAGTGAGGTTTTTTTTAATAATCGCGTGTTCAATCATCCCTCCGGATACACAAAGCTAGCGCTAATAAGCAGCGATTCAAACATAGACATTGAGGGCGTCTGGCATTGAGGGCGCTACAAGTAAAAGTGTTTATATAATTTGTGTTATATGTTCTTAATGCACGCGCTCAGAGGTGTCCAATAAATGGCTTTAAACGGGAGCTAGCTACTGGTCCCCATCTTTTCAGGGGCGGGGGACAGTCTACTTTTTGACGTTGTACTTGTGCCGGCGCATGGCGGTGTGTGATGGCGCCCTCATTGGACAGTTCTCTCAATTTCTCAGTGTGCCTACGGTTGTAGCGCCCTCCATACCAAACAACTAATGGAAAGGCAAACAAGTCATGAGTGCGCCCTCATTCTAGTTTCTGTAGGTGGGGTCAACGAAATAAACGTTTTCCAGTGAAAAAAATGGTGGTGCAAAAACCTACTGAAGATTCCAACAGAAAAATACTAGTAGCCCCAACCAACCCTATAATGGCATAGCTGTTAAGCCTTTTTGTTGGTGGTGGGGGGGGGGGGGAGGGGGCAAGCAAATCTTTAGTAGGCTTTCGCTCCACCTTTTTCCACTGGAAAACGTTTTCGTTTACCCCGCCTACAAAAACTAGAATGAGGGCGCGCTCATTATTGCCTTTCCATGAATTGTTTGGTATTGAGGGCGCTACAAGTAAAAGTGTAAACTAGAGATGCGAGAAAATTCATACACGAAAGTCGACATACAAACAATAAACTTATAGGCAACACTAAACTAAGATATCCTTTGCCCTCTTTTTATCGTGTTTATATAATTTTTGTTATACGTTCTTAACTGTACCTTTTGCTCTTTTATCTTCCTGATTTAAATAGCGATTTGGGTTTTCTTATATATCGCTAACCTTTCCTCAATTAGCTTATAAGCTTCTTTCATTTCAGTATTATGTGCTTTCTTGTTATGGAAAAAAGTGATCAATGTGGCCCTTTTTTGCTGCTTTGTCGCAGAATCTTGTGGGAACAGTTAGTTTTACGCATTTCCAAATTGGAACAACTACGAAGAACATGAGACGAACAAAGTAATTATATAAACCGGTTTTGAATTCCTTTGCTCACATTTCACAAATGATTGACGCAACGTCAAGCTCCTGCGAAGTTAAGTGACCCAACCTGACATTTTAATTTGAAAGCATTATAAATTGAATGGTTGTTAAGTGCAATCTCATGCTTTTACACGTAAATTGAAGGATCTAGTTATTAAATTGAATGTGTTTCTAAACGTGATTTGGTGATTCGTCAGCATTCTTTTCTACGTGTTTAAATGATTGAGCAAGGGACATCTTTACGTTGACGATTTCTTGACGTGCAAGACATCGGGGCATGTATGTTTGGCAATGGTTGTACCATCGGGAACACTCCTCTTCGGTAATTTCTTACATGTTTTCTTGCGTATGTCTGACCGAACAGCTTAATGCAAAGTAATGTTTTCAATGCAAACCTTGAAAATACCTCTATGTGTCACATTTAACCTTAATTTTCAAGTTTAATTTTTTCCATTTTGAAGGGTGTTTTGGTGCCTTCTCCGTTTTTATGCTAATGCAAAGTTTTATATTCATGAGCAAAACGTTTATGTCATTCCGGGCAGATTAATATTACATGACTATTTCAGCACGAAAAAGTTGCTAAAAATTTAGATATTTTGTCATAAATTGCTTTACCTTTGGTGGTTCTTTATTGTGTCAGTAAATGACATGCAGTAAGCTATTATGTTCAAAAATCTCGCACATTCATGCAAATTATGTAATGTGCCTGGCTGTGATCTGGGGTAAACTTTTGTTGATTTAAAAACATTTTAAAAAAATATTTTTAAGCTCTGGCAGGAGCTTCTACAAGTTGGTGGTCGGTCGGTTAGTTGGATGGTCTGTCTGTCTGTGTGTCACGAAAATTGATCGAAAGTATGATGTTCCATATTTGCCATTTGCGGCGGCGCATTTTTCGCCAGAGCTTATCGTGCACTCGCACTCGTTACTAAATTGCCGACAGATATTCTTTGGTCAACCGCAAACGACTTGGCGAAGTTTCAGGGTCGTGACGTCATCGAATATGAAATTATAATAAGGAGAATTTGAAACTGATCAATTGTCTTTTAATTGGTATCATTAATTTTAATCAAATTCATCGTTTTAATCGGTATCAGTAGCGATGTTCGTGGAACAAATAATCATATCAGGTACAATATTGACCTTGAGCATCCTAAAGCTGTGACGTCATCAAACCGGAAGTTAGGTGTAATCAGTTCATACACTTCTAAATACACTAATTTCAAATTTTATATTTTCAGACGTTCTTTTCACTTCATATGTGTTATCTCTGAACTAAAAAAATCAGTTTGCACATTAACTTGATGAAGTCATCTAACCGGAAGTAACGTTGTACGTGTAAATACAATGTATACTGAAATTTATCAAACCCAAAAGGACGCATTTTTGTTTTCAATTAAAACAAACAGTTCTACTGGAAAAGACTGAATATCGTGATTTTTTCTCTTTGTTCTGGTATAAAACTATTCACAACTTTACTGGGCAATGTGCAATGAAATATCTGTCCGCCCGATCACCCTGCGTTTGTGTATCAACCAGCGCCGTAACCAGCTGAGTAGTCATATACTAATGTTACTTTGACCTCAATTTGCATGTTGACCCCAGGTGGGCGTGGGTGAACCTTGGTGAAGCAATTTTGCTACATTTTTTATCATCAACGTTATATTTTGCGTTACAGCGATACGTTTTGGAGTGTTTTTCATAGAGACAATATCGTAATATTGAACTAAATTTAAGTCTAAAGAAACAAATTTGCCGCCAAAACAAAACAAAAAAACACGCGTGCCAACCGTGACTTAATTTAGAGGGCAGTTCAACTGGAGCATAAGTGACACCTTGAAGGAACCCCCAAGAATGGGCCTTTAAGCATCACCGGATGCCCTCAAAATCAGAGGAACCGTATATATTGCATGTATATATGAGGTCCAAGCCTCTCCATTGACCCTTGCATTGTTACTTCCGCACACTCCGGCCTTTTTCAAGCACATGACACACAGACATCAGACAGACCTCAGACAGACAGACAGACAGACAGGCAGACAGCCTAGGACCCATACCGCTATACACCGCCTTTTGTACCTAATATCGCACATATGCTGTATGGTATTTCAGTATGAAGTGATTAGTGATGTCAATAAATGCAGGCCTAGTTCATAGCACTGAGGTTACTGAAGTTCACGCAACACCTAGTACCTCATGATTAAATGTCTGTGCCAAATGTCAACATGCAGACCATGGCGTGTCCAAGCAGTTCAGCTGTCTAGTCTTAAAATCCATCATGATGTATTAAAGCTTACCCAATGACCAAGTCATTGCACCATTATTTTCAATGGTTCATGTAGTCAAGAAAAACAGCCTGGTTTACGTTGTGTTATCAGCTGCCGTACATTAGAGTAGATAGGTCGGGTTGGGTGATACTCAATGCCCGTATATGGAAAGGAATGCTCCCTCCATACTGTGCGCGCTGTTTGTTCGTATCCGTACAGTGTATCGAGATGTACTGTACATATTGTACATCACCAACTCTCGATCACAAGAAACACAAACGTCATCGTGTGACCGGATCGGTGATCTTTAACTTTCTGCGAGAGATATATGTACATGTGTTGTATATTTATATTTCGTCTCTTCTTCCGGTAATAATAATCATATGACTAGATAAACATGTAAAAAGTAACGTGCACACTTTCATGGTTTGACCATTAATTCCGATGTGCTTCGACCACGAAATAGAATTAAGATGTTGGGGCGTTAGTATACCGTGATTTGACTTCGATCAAACATTCTTTTCACACCATTGCTACACTCTTAAGGATATGTATCTGAAAATAGTACCTCCTCATGTTTTAAACCAGTTGCGGAATGAAACGGGGTCAAATTTGCATGGGGAGCATGAGGGGGGGGGGGGCGTAAAAGCCAAAAAAAAAGTGTGAGGTCATTTGCTCTTGATTTAATATACAGTCGAGTCTCGTTATAACAAACTCGTTCGGACCTAGCAAATTGTTTGTTACATGTACATTTTTTGTACATGTATATCAGAATTTTGTATTAAGAGGAACATCAGTCCCATTCATTGTACATATAAATGCACAGTCGGGACTAAGGCTTTACGTTTGTTATAACCAGAATTTTGTATTAACAGATTTGTACTAAAGAGAGTCGACTGTACATTTAACAAAAATGGGCGTCTGCAGGCGTGCCAATGGGAATTGGGGTGGGCAAATTTTCCCCCGCCCACCCTCAAAAAAAATGATAAATTGAGGATATGCAAAAGAAATTACAAGGATTTGGGGGATTTTGAAGGGCACTCAATTAAGAAAGTATAAAATCCTCTGTTTTGCCGTCCCCAAAATCTTAACCAATTCGGGGGTGCGTTGGGGGGGGGGGGGGGCAAGCCTTGAGCTAGAGGAGGCGTGGCCCTACTGATTAAAAAGCGATTCTTCGAGGAAGAATAAGTTATCAAAACTGCAATAAGGTAACTGTTTGTTTTGACCCATTTCACAAACACTGAATATAAAGAGTTACCTTTTCCCAAAAAATATATGTAATCTGTTTATCTTTGCCAAGTACCCAAGGAAGTACATGTACATACATTGTAATAATAAATGTGTCTCTGGTCAACTTTTAAACCTTTTAAATTATAGTTTATGTTCTACAACTGACAATTTCTTGATCTTCTTTCTGTTATCTTTGCCGATAACACAAAGCCAACACATGTTTTCTTTATGGACTACCTCAAAAACGGACATGAACGAAACAATACATGCACTCTCAATTTAAGGCGAAGCTTTCAACTTTATTGGATAATTCGCATGGTTCCCTACAGCTCGGCTTCATATACACAATGTATTTAATGACATATCATTACATACGGATACAGCACATCATTGGTAGGATATGATTAACAGTTTGGTAGCACACAGTTATATACACCCTACACGATATTATTATCAATAACTACATGTACATGTACCTCGCATGCACTGAACAACCGTTGGCGGGCATCAGTCACCAAGTTCATAAATTTGGCCTGGCAAAATTTATGTAATGTTTCTCGTCTTGATGTAAAGAGATATTTCCCAACTCGTGAGCAGTTCAATTAAACTGTCACCTAGGCGATTATTTACTGTGCTAGTAGTAGAAGTAATGCGACATTCAGATTCTGTTAAATGGATTCAATACAGCAATGCTCTATACTAAAATGCGTGGAACGTACAGAGAACCGTGTGACCATGTACAGTATTTGTTTTTCGAGTACATGACATACGATACAATGCAATTTTCTTCTGACAAGTGCAACATCATTACCGGTAGCTTGTTTTGGAAGACCTAATTACCTTCAGAATTCTAAAAATGCTCACGATTATCCTTTAGAGCATGAAAAACTCTTGTATTACAATTCTACCACATTTGACCGTCACAAAATACCTAACGAATAATTCAACATGTGAAAATAGTCCAAACTATTCATATTAACCAGTAATACACCTGTAAACGTCCATGCGAAAAATAGTAATACGTGTACTTTTAGAGAATTTGACTTACAAACCAGTAAAAAACTTCCCATAAGTGCAAAGTTATTAGTGACGCAACAAAATATATATAGTAACACCGCAATCCTTCAATAATATGCACATGGCAAGACATTATACTCCAAATATTGTGTTAAAAACATGGCCGTTCAGAACTGTCCTTACGGCATAATATAACTCCCAATTCGTAGCATGATTCGTTTTGCATAACAATGTACTAACAATCATGAATAATTATTTCCATCATTGTGTTGGCTATAATATAATTATGAACAGCATATATACCCTGCTTATAACACACGGCAGTAGAACTACTTGAACTCTTCCGGAGAAAAGAGAAAAAAAACACCCCTCTAAACGCCTACTGAACACAAATAGTACATCCCAAAACATTAAGATACAATCACTGTTTCAAGACAGACTATCTGGAAGTAGGGGTGTTTTTTTTCCATCCCCAATTCTACGGTTGGGTTGACTTGTTTTTGTAAGAATACAAACACATACCATTTATGTGTCTCACATAAACGCTACGTTTAATTAGTTACAGAAAAATATTAACAACATTCTTTTATCAAACGTTCTTACTAAATGTACATACGGTAAACTTTTATTGTTGAAATTTACTAAAATTACTTGGATGAACTACATGACACAAAACTACATCTATTTGAGAATTTGTACGAATTACAAATGTTCACTTGATTGTTGTTATTAAGAAACTCTGTATTTCAACCTGATCCCATTATTGGCAAATTAGTGGCAAAAAGCTGGCAATTACATGATGTCAAACCAATATTGCAAGATGCAAATGCTCTATTTAAGTCTCCACTACATCTAAATTAACTCGGAATCAAATATGGTGCAAATTATTACATCGCAGTACAACATCCATAGAAAGAAAATACAAGCAGAAATTCCATCAGCAAAAAAAATTAGAAAATAACAAAATATGGGTCGACCTGCTTAAACCCTGTAAACAACTTCAAGATATGGCAGGCATTTTAAAGGAAATACAGTCCAATAAGGAAATTAAAAAGGCAGTTTAGAACCAATTATGATTCATGTTTACCAATTCAAACTAAATGAATTGGGAAAGGGGAGGTTTAATAAAAAAAAATGACAACAATGATGCTTTAGGCGGTATAATCAGTGTTTGACGTCTGCACATTACATGCTTGTATAGAGGTTCTTTTCGATTGGGTCCTGATGAATTAAGTGAAACCATACCAAACGAATGCGGAGATTTTATCAAGGACTAATAACACAATTTAAAAAGTTACATCAAGGGTTGAAATCTTCCTACCACCAGTACATTAAAGTATTGAGCAACTTAATATTGATAATTTGGATTCCTTGAAAAGGCAAAGGTCTGGACTAACAACAAATGTTAGATAAACCTACTCTTCTGCAAGTGAAGAATAATTCTTTTGCATGTTCGTCTTAAAGAATTTTTTTCCAATGAACAGGCAAAACAGACAAAGATAGGTCCTTCTAAATCCTGACTGAAAACTGTAGCAATTCCTAAAACAGAAGCGCCACAGTATATGTGCACATAATTATCTATTAGTAACATACACATGTTCTAGCACATGAGTGCCACTTTAAATTCTGTTCTCATAATAAGATATGTTACACCATCATCCATCCTCATTATGAAAAGCAAAATTTCCAATTTTTTATATCACAAAATATTCCAACACTTGGGAAAATCTCTGGCTACTGAATTGAACAATGCATGCTAACGATTCTAACGTAGGTAATAAAATCCAAGACGTCAAACCTTGTCATGAGAACCATCAACTTTAAGTTACATCCGAAAAATGGCAACATTATCACTGAAAACACTTTATCATCTTTGAAGAAAAAAAGCCACTAACACTACCTATTTATACATATATCCCATAGCCTTGTTTCCTTCAACAGGAACAAAAAAATTATCCATAAATCTTGTCTCTTTTTTTCTTAGTAATATCAGAACTAAGAGCTAAAATACACACATTATTGTATATCCTACAGAAATGAGATGGAAGAAACTTGTAACACTCATATAATATACACACATAACCCAACGTATTAAATATTAGTGGAAAATTCCAACTGTATATAGATAAGAAACCAATTCTCCAAACTCGTTAAAAAATAAAAGGAGCTCAAATAACAAATTCCACAGGAAAACAAAATCTCGATCAATAAAATTCCTTTTAAAAATTTTAAGTTCAGTACGGCTTACACAGGAAAGAATTAGGAAAGAAATGTTGGTGCGTCTTGCATTAATTAAGAAATACATGTACCTTTTTCTTGAACAAATATATGCATACAAATTGAAAATATTTAAGACAACGTTAAATAACAGGCTCTGCTACGCTATGCTTACTTCAACCGATACAACTTAAAATTAAAAGCGAATACAAATAGCATGAATATTAAATAAAAAATGCACAAAATTATTTAATTTGTACAATGACGACAGGGACAATGTACTTTTTGTGACATACCACTCATATATGACCACGGAGAACAGCTGGATTAAAAGTGTTGCTTTTTGCAGGAGGAAAATTGGAGAGTCCGGAGAAAAGCACTCATGGCACAGGAGAGAACCAGCGTACAACTCTACTCACATGTGGTCCCTAGCCGAGATTCGAACCCGGGACACAGTGGTGAGAGGCGAACACATTACGCACTAGCCACCCCCTTTTCAATTTTGATAGATTTTTTTTGAACTTCTACAGGTTTTACATGAACTTTTATCAAGTTATGTCAATGATGGTACATGTAACAATAATTTTTTGAGCTAACCAGACATTTGTGATCAGCAATTTCGTAATAAGTTCAATTTTGTTACTTGACAGGTGCGTGGGGATACAATTGTTCAATACTTCTAAACGTTTCATAATTTTTCCCGTCATTGTCCCTGTTACATCTTAAAAATATAAGATTAAAAGCTCATCTGAACATAACTCTCTCGGAGAAAAAAAAAAGGGTATAAGAGTACAGTGTTAAGAAACATCATCTAATCTACAACTACCAACATACAAATGTAAATTCAAATCTTAAAAAAAAATCTAATCATTAAATCAAGTTTGCCAAATCATAAAAAAAAGTAGCACTGTTTAATCGACATATTAATTGTTTTTTCGTTAATGGGACAGCACACATGTTGCCACCATTGTGAGAATGAGCATATTTTGAGAAATGTCTAGCATCGGTCTAATGCAAGGGGCAATATATACACACCTATATACACAAGGCAAGACGCAAGGCAGCACCACACAACAAAAAAGAAAGAAAAAGATGTTTCTCGTTATATCTTTTTTAAAACAAATATTGCCTGGTTAATTCAATTTTTTTTAAATTAAGTATGAGCTACTGTAAGATGAGTTAATGCTTTTAAAATATATTTCTACCGGTAGTGATCATCTGCTGGTATTTTTTAATTAATGATTTATGAGCAATAGGTGTTAATTCCAACTGCCAAACTCAAAAGGAACAAAGCATTGTTTCCCTTAATCGATCTGGATTTTGGAAGACAGCATTTTCAGAAGATTAACCCCAATTTCGTTCGGCACAATTCTGAAAGCCGTTAATCCGAACTTTTCACATTTCGTAAGACTTTAGTAGAATTAAGTTTCTTTGAAGAAAAGAAATGACAATTGACGTAGAGAAAAATCCAAATATCCAATTTCCAAATTCCAACACCCAGAACCTTCAAGATACAATGCAACAGAAACTTCTACCATCAAAAACCATGCTCCAAATCCTCTTTCTCCAGCTAGTCTATATGAATTCCGTAAAAAAAGCTTGAAAACCTTTCAATTACTGACCATGATCTGTTTGGGCAATGTGTTTTTTTTTTATCTTGGAATCAATTAGGGCAGTACAATCATGATTCTGAGACCAATATGACTCTCTTCGTGGATATCGTCACACAAAAATACTCTCAGTTTTAATTGAAGTGGATTTCAATTGTATCAGTCCATCGGAAGTCAAATCCTTGGGTCTCAAGTGGCCGGATTAACAATGAGGCAGGATCAAAAGCCACCATCACAGTTCATTTGATCAGCTGGAGACTTGATGAATTATGATTGACATTTGAGGTCTTCTTTCTCTACAACTAAGGATAAGCGACTATCATAACTTCGGTCTTGGTGGGGGATGGGCAGTGGTGTAGTTGATTCCATCACAAGTCCATAACGAAGCCATCCGATATCATATCAAGTTACAAGCTACTCAAATGAACTGTGACCAAAAGCACATTCCTTTGTTATTGTTCATCCCTTTACTTGTGACTGGACTTGTGAAACTGAAAGGACTTTGTGATTGACTTTTGATTGGACTTGTGATAGATTCGACTACAACATAGGAGTGGTGTCGGGTGGGTTGGGGTGGGGGTAGGTTCAAACCTACTGGACACGACGGCAGTAGTATCCCAGTGCCTTGCACTTCTCACACAGATGCTGAGGGTGCTCCTTGCTTTGGTCAGAGACGTCCAAGCCGTCTGGTTTCTCCAGAGGGCGCTGTTTATCACAAGAAGAGCAAATTGGTTACCATTTTAGTTTTTCGCATTAAATTTTATTTGACATGAAATTATTGACACAGTGGCGACAATGCGAAGGGTGGAAATGCGTCTGATGGAATTTGTATTAATCAAGCATGGCAGCTTTTTAATAAACAGTGTCAAAGACTACGGAAGAAAGTTTGATTTCATGGGCATCCTATGGTTAGCCCGGGATCATCAGTTCATAAACAGAGATGGATGTGAAATGGTCTTAATGGGATGAATCTTCGCTGGGTGTTGATATAACCCGGGCCAACCCTACTATCCCAGATGAACATGACATGAATAAAACAACCTAAATTTGATGTGTACAAGTAGAAGTTGAACTGATCTTAAACTTGGCTCTGCTTATTTGACAAAGATTTAAGATTCTGGATTTTTTTCCACTAACAATTGTTCATGTTTTACATTTGCCCTGCCGAATCAACTTGGCTCATACATGTACCCTCCTCAACGACAATGATGAAATGTCGATAATTACAAGATGATTCAGTACTCCCAAACCCAACCTTAAAGGTCTGAAAACATCCTAGATGTGCATGAAGAGAATGTCTCTTGCTACTGGCTAATGGCTATGTCCCCTCCCCCACCCTAAATGAAGGTGAAATGGCCAAAACAGAGTACTATGCCTCACCTAGACTTTTAGAAGCGGTCTTTCCAACTCAAACGCACCTGCTTGTGTGGGTAGACATTGATATGGCACTTGATGCACTCCTGGCCCATGTTGGCCCAGCTGTTGCCGCTCATCCATTTTCTCTTGCACTTGGGGCACTTGTACTCTCCGAAGCATCTCTTCTTGCCCTGGTAGGGTGTCAGTCCTTCACCCTTTGGACGAGCCTACCAAAAAGAAAAATCAATATAAAAAAAGGCTTGAATTTGGGAGATTTTTGGGAGATCTAGTTACACAAGTCATCACAAGTAACAAGTCGATAGCAAGTCAGTCATGAGTCGATCAAAAGTCAATCAGAGGTTAGTCAGAAGTTGATCTGAAGTCGGTCTTAGGTCAGTCACAAGTCAATCAGAGGAGTCAGAAGTTGATCTGAAAGCGGTCACAGGTCAGTCACAAGTCAATCAGAGGTTAGTCAGAAGTGGATCTGAAGTCGGGTCACAGGTCAGTCACAAGTCAATCAGAGGGGTGAGAAGTTGATCTGAAGTTGGTCACAAGTCAGTCACAGGTCAGTCACAAGTCAATCAGAGGAGTCAGAAGTTGATCTGAAAGCGGTCACAGGTCAGTCACAAGTCAATCAGAGGGGAGTCACAGGTCAGTCGCAAGTCAATCAAATGTCAGTCAGAGGTTAGTCAGAAGTCGATATGAAGTTGGTCACAAGTCAGTAGCAAGCCAGTTGCAAGTCAATCAACAGTCAGTCAGAGGTTAGTCAGAAGTCGATCTAGAGTCATCACAAGTCAGTTAAACAAGTCAGTAGCAAGTCAATCAAACGTCAGTCAGTCTCAGAGGTTAGTCAGAAGTGGATCTAAAGTCAGTCACAAGTTATTCACAAGTTAATCACAAGTCATCAAGCGTTGATCACAAGTCTATCACAATTACCCAATAACAAGTTCATCAAAATTCACATATCCAGTCACAATTCAAACAAGTCAGTCACAATTCACAGGGCACTGACAACTCAATTGCACGTCGTCATTTGTCCCTCAGTCTCATGAAACAATAACAAAGGCATTTGCTGTGTCATATTTCACCCCTGTTACCTATGGCCAAACTTACGATTTGACTTACGATTCAATGTTTAATGTGTAATGGACTTGTGATTGACTAGATTATGACGCAGGAGTTAGGATGGAGTCAATATGGGATAACATATTTATAGCCTTGTTTGATGTGACTCAATAGAAAGGAAATCCATATGGCTACAGTCCAGACATGCACCTGTAAGCATTTCAAAAAATGGAAATCTACTTGATTGGAGATTTCTTTTCTAAATTCCAGCCAAGAAAATGAATTAAACAGTGTCACTGAGTACCTGAAATGCTCAGCTCACGTTCCCAGCCTTGTTTGGTCAAGTTTCATATTATGACTAATACACGTACACCCATCCGCTTTTCAACTAGACTATGGGACTGTACATTTGTTCCATTTCCAAACCACGCAATGAAAACAGCAATGAAATAATTAAGAATACACTAACTTGACCTGCATGTTCAAGCCTGCAGTAGAAAGTTACAAATGTATGCAGAAGAGCTCAATTTCGGACTTATGAGGCATCATAAGGCGTCGGACTTGTGAGGCATATAATTTATTTATTTTGGTTTCAGGGGTGGTCGTTAGTAAAAGTGCAAATCCATTAGATTTTGGAAGTGATCCAGATCCTGGTCTGGATCCAGGATTTTTTGGGGGATTCCTCACCATTTGTGGGAGTATTTCTTTTAGGATCGTTCTGGCAATATGGAGGTTTGCACTCTCTGGGGGCTTTCTAGTTTTCAACTTTTGTTTTGGGTATTTAAGGGTATTTTGGTGCCTTTTTTTGTTTTTATGCTAATGCAAATCTCCAATTCTCCATATTCATGAACAAAACTTCGTTCCGGGCAGAAATCTCAATGTTACAGCTATTTTTCAGCACCAAAAAAAATGCTTGAAATTTGGATATTTTCTGTCGTTAATCTTCTATTCTTTGGTGATTCGTCGTTGTGTCAGGACATGGCAGTAAGCCAATGAGCAAACCTAGCCTTTCTCACAAAATGTTTTCAATGGGCAATTTTTGGGTTCACAATTTGAACAGAAAACCCCTAACCTGAACAGAATCTTCCTGAAATGACATCACAGCAACAGCACTCTCAGTTGTCGGAAAAAAACATGGACATTTTTTTCAATGTTTAAAGAAGTGCACTTTTCAGTAAAATTAACCAAAAAAGGGATGTCGAATTGTTTTCATACATTTAAGAGGAGTAGAAAGTTGCACCAAAAAAATCGCCCATGAACCCTTTAATCAAGTCCTGTTATCAAGTTACATTTTTTCAAGGTTTCAAAACCTAGGCTACTCTGACCTTGCAAACCTTGCCAAAAACAAAATCAATATAGCCTTATCCAGCATCTTGTACTTCTATCAATAACATGTACCACTGGGACAGTAAACAAGTTCCTTAACTGAACAACTGTTCCCACTTGACATTTGTGGGAATATTCCCCTCAGCCCTTCCTATGGGAATATAGAATCTTTGGAGCCAGCAAAAACTTGGCCCGGAATCACTCTGCAAGAAACCTGAGCACTAGTCCCAAAACTTATGATCATGCGCAATCAAGATGTGGTCTATTTTTGGTAAGCTACATGTTCTGTACATGTAAGTCCTCTACATTAGCAATCATGGTTCAAAATCAAAATTTACATTAACTCCATACCAAATAACAAATTGAGTCTTGCCCCTCTAGTGTTCATCCAAATCAGGTACCCGCAAGTACCCAACCGCTGATGTCAGGAACTGGTTCCAGATTATGGGATCGGGTTCCCTCATCCAACTTTACAAATTTCTTTGTAACTTCTCAGACAAAGAAAAAAGAAAGGTTTGAAATAAAAACCTGACTGCATGGAAAACCACAACAGATTTCATGTATGTGCATTTTAAGGCGCGACAGATGCAACTCGCGAAAGTTGCAGTTTACACTGTAAAGCCTCCAGACAGTTTCCAGGATTTGAATCGTGCGGTTGAGTTTCTTTTACGGTTATCCAGTTACCCATGTTTTACTTCAATAGGGTAACCGGTTCCAGAACTAACCGTAAATGCACAACACTAACCCTAACCTACCTGGATTTTTTTTTTTGGTGGCAAAATTGGCGATCTCTGACTGTTTATTGCCAAAAGTTTATATTTTTTTTAATTATTATTTAGAAAAGAAAGTGTTGTTTTTTTTTGAAGTTTTTTTTTTGGGGGGGGGCATTTTTAGTGTATTATTACTTAATTTAACAATAAAAAAAACCTAATTAGAATATCGTTTAACTTAAGTGATCTTAAAGTGTACAAAGTAAGACAGACTGACAGACAAAAATAAAAGTAACAAATCAAATGTATTTCCCTTCCTACCGATAACTGTATACACACACAATTTTGTTCAGCCTAAGTGATAAGTTAACTGTTGCATGACAGTTTGGAATTTTTAATGTACAAGGTTGGACTTTGCAATGCTTCTCAATCTGTTTCTGTTCCATGATGTAGGCCTACAGACACCTGGAAGGTTGTGTACACTTAAAATCACTTAACAGCAAGAAACATCACTAAGTTTTTGAAAGAAAATTGAATTTCATTGAGCATTACTTGGTAGCTGAGGAACTCTGGAACTTTGAAAGGTATAAAGGAAAAACCAAGGAAAAAATGCAGTTTTATAGTCTGGTTTCCTGATACTACTTTAGACGAAACAGACCAATTTACAGACATCAGGGAATTGTCAGGTCAGGGAACCACACTATAGCTAGCTAACAATTCAAGGATGTATAACAGATTCGATTGCAAACAAAAAGTAGACTAACTAGGCCTAAATACTGTTTGGGGTCAGTATTAAAACAAAGCACTTTTTCCAAATGACGGTCCGACCATCGTTGGAAAATGATACAAAAATTCCACTGTTCTTGAAACTGAAAGTGACAGCACACCAGGTGCCACGATTTCACAGGATGCTTGAGTATTATTTACTTGTATTTCAGTAAGGTATTTCAGTATACATTGTAATTTGGCAGTTTTGTTTTTTCATGTTTGCAAATGTTGTATTTTACCTTTAAAAAAAATCAAAATCAGCAGCTAGGGCAAAACATAACATCAATGAATAAATACAATCATCAGAAACGAAATGTATCATGAAGGATAAAAAAAAATTTCTGATGAAGGATACCATTTAATTATTTTAACATTATGTTGTGGTTAGCTTGCACCTTTAACAATATTTCTTGGTAAACAACCATGGAATCACTGCCACTATTAAATGCTACCATCGCCCGAAGGCACATAATACACACTCAAGGAGACTTGGACCAAACAATGTTTAGTTCTCTCAGTTTCTGGAGGGGTCTGGGTTCTCCATCAACCAAACCAACATCTGGCTTGCCCTGCGATGCTGAGAGAAACATCAGCTGCCAGCCAAAAAGCCGGTCACCATGGCAACAAACTCAAATGCCAGCAGTTTGTCTTGGCAGGGTCTTGGACCCCTGTGGTCGGCACTTACCAGACGGCTGTTTTATGCCAACAACGATGGGATTTGTTTTCAATGGGACTTTTCCATAATTCTAAGCTTAAAAAATCATTAAAAACAAAGCATAACAAAAACCTAGAAGGGGCAAAGCAAGGAAAACAAATACAAATCAAAGCTCCCCCCCCCCAAAAAAAAAAAACAATAATAAAACTTGCAATCCATTGATAATAGAGATTGATAGAAAGTTGTTTCTTATTTCTTTAAACAGAAAAGGTGGGTTTTAGTTTTCACTAAGAAATGCAAATGCGTGGGCTTTGAACAAGACATTATCTGGACAAAAGCGTAAATTGAATTGCCTTGTGCGGCAGTACCAGTACTTGTGACTCGACACACGACACTGCTGATGACATTCACCGGTTATCGTACAGAGTTACAAAGTAATGTACGTCACAACTGAATTTTAACTATTGTAAACTTTTGACCTTACATGTAACCTAAGCTTAGAAAAATTGGATATTTTAGTAAGGACTCCATGTGGTAAAGCTGGTTTGTCAAAAAAAGTCGATATTACACACAATGTCAGTATTTTGGGTTTCTTTTTTTTACATTTAATTTGAATCAATGTCGTTGAAAGTTGAATATTCCTCCATCAAAGAAATTATGGCTCAGTTTTATTGCTCAATCACAAATGTGTTCAGGAGGGGCG